AGGGCCAAGTTCTGGGGGTGTTTTTTCCCCTTGGCAGCCTGCAGTTGCCTCCTCGAGGCTGGCCAGACMCCTCTGCAAGGGCAACTGCTGTGGGACAAGGTGGCTCTTCAGAGGCACCTCGTGGTGGAGACACAAGCAGCTCAGGAGCTGCAGSAGCAGGGGAAAGAGCTGTGGTGGGGACCTGCTTCTTGGCCAGGAGGCTCTTGATCTCTTCCTCTGGGACCTCCTCCTTGTGGCCATACCAGGATGGAGCAAGGAAGGGACAAGCCACGCAAGGAGGAAGCCACCTCATGGAAATGCGAGGCTGCTCTGAAAACAGGGATGAGCACTTAGCCAAGGCGTTACTGGTGACCACTGCAGATGGGAAACACTGAGCCTTCTGCAGGACCAAATAACACGTGAAAGCGGAGAATTAATTGAACTCACCCACAGACTGGGATGCTGGTAGTGAGAGGAGAGCCTCGCAGAACACCACATATAGGAAATCATCACAGTTTTCCCCACTGCGCTGCCTCTCCCCATCCTCCCAGTAACCAGTGCCCGCTCTGGTTAAAACCAGTAGTAGGAGAGATGGATTGTGGTCTGCTAGGCCTTGTGGGGCTGGTGGGTCCCCCACAACCAGGCCCACCCCGAGGCAGCTGTCTGGCATCAGAGGCCATGAGGGAGACACAAAATACCCTTCTCAGGTGCTCAATCAGCTCCAGGCAGAGCTGAGCAGCCCCTATTACAGCTGTTTCCACATTTCCAAATGCCTCCAAATGGAGGATGTGTTGCTGAGTTAAAAGCACTTTGCATCCCTCCCCAAACATCCTGGTTCAAATTTTGCAGCACTAGAGTGGAAACCCACATTCTGGAGAGGAAATACTTCAGAAAAAGTAATAGTTTTTGCATCAGGAAAGTAGGAAATGTTCCCTGACACTTTTTCTAAGAGCTAGAGCCTTCAAAGTAATTAAGGTGTTCACACAGCAAAGATTTTCATTTACCAAATTAAATTGTGCCCATATTTTGTCCCCAAGTCAGCTGCATCTTTGTACTGACCCTAAATTATCATTTTTACATGCTTGGTCAGAAAAGAATCTGACCGGGGCAGCTAACTGTTTAACTTGTTGCTCATCAAAGACCTGTAAAGTCTGGTTTTCGATTGTTTGAATAGTGGGACACAGTCTTTTTACAGCCAACCTTATTAAAGCGCGGGATTTTGTTAGCTGTTTCGTGGTAATAAGGTGAAGGACAATGTTGTGGAATGCTCCTTCAGAAGATCTGGCTCCTTGTGTGCTTTGCAGTTTACTTTGCTCTTGCTGGCCAGGATGCTTGGCAACCAGCTCGTATGGCAGCTCGCTGCCTTGTAACCTTCTCTTCCCAAAAGCCACTTTTGACAACGGATTGCTTTTTTTAATCCACATAGAAAAAAAAAAACTAGTTTCTGAAGAAATATAAAGGAACTATGCTATTTCCTGTTGATTTTTTAAAATTTTCTTTTGTCTATTACTTTTTTTTTATTATTTTTTAAGCCTTTGCATACTTTCAGATGCATTTAGAATAGAAAAAACATTTTTGGCCACACACATACACATAAATGTTATATATGTAAAACATTAAGCTTATGTATTTTTCTTATTTCTGCCAATTTTTCTCACAAGCGGCATTTAAAACAGATTGTAAATGTCCCTTTTTCCTCAAAACCACTTTAGGGCTATGGAAAGTTTCAATTACCGCTAGAGAATACCTGCCAGGAAGTTTTTGTTAACTTTTGAACAAATAAATCTGAGCTATTTTGTGAAAGAACAAAGTATTCTGACAAATTTCAGTATTTCCCATGATCTTTTGTTTCATAACTCTATTTTAATGGGAAACAAAGAAAAGCAAAACTTCCAAATCACTGACAAGCTTCAGTGAAAATTGTGTTACTCTTGGCTGTTGATGCCAACATAAAGACTGAACCACAAGCTCTCATGTTTGGGATTAAGTGTGRTAGATTTTTGGAGTGTGCAAAACAYRCTTTTGGAATCCYTTGATCAAAAGTTTATAGTCACCACCTGAAYATATATTAACATTTTACCTACCAYGTTCCTTTTTCCGATTACAGTATTTTCTTAGGTACCTATAGTTAAGAATTTCAGACAAATGAAAGCATGCATTTATACCATCAAACATTACTTCATATAAGACAGTTCATACGATGTGAAATGGCCTGTCAAACAGACACGTAGCGATTCTATCAGAATTATTGCTAASGAGCCAGCAAACCTGTCGTTGTGCTCCAAGCTGGACACTGTCAGGCATGAAGATGCTTCAGGCTGCAGCCAACTCAAGTCACTTCAAGTCTCAAGTCACTTCTGGACCACAACTTCAGAGGCTCGTTGAAATGTGGATCCAACATCTCAATGACCTGTTGGAAACCAAAGAAAATACATAGACAGCCAAGGCAGGCAGGTAGCCTAAGTATGACAGGCAATCTCACCTGCATGTACCCTAGAAAAGAAGGAGCAAAGCTCCACTCTTGAGGATGTGAATTGATAGTGGTCARGGCACGGGAGGAATTACAAAGTCCCAGCCTGTGATGGCAAAGCCAAGGCACCCTGATGGCTGACACTGGCTCCTGTGTCGGATGGCACCGTGTCCTCCTCAGTATCTGTAAGAAAGAGGTGCAGGTCCATTAGGATATAGGAAAGAGGAAAGAAGCCACTTTCTCTCAGCAGTTATTAAATGCAAAGGGAACTGCTGGGTGGATGCCTCAAGGGGAATGTGCTTGGAAGAACTAAAGCTTATTCCACAGGGACTGAGTCTCAAGTGAGGGGCAGACTCTGAAGAGAGCCCTGAAGTACTGTTTAGTTCTGAACAGCACCAAATCAGCTCCACAGGCTGCCTGCACCCAGTGCATTGCCCAGACAAATTGTTCAAATTCGCTCAACTCCTGAAAAAAACGCTGTTTTGAATAAGGTCCAATTACTCAATGGGGAGGTTTGTCTTAGAAAACAAGCCCAAAAGCAAACCCCTAATTCATAGACCGAGCAAACAGTTTCAGGGAGAATTTTTGTTAAACAAGCAAGCGTTTGCTTTGCTTTTCTCCAGAGTCTCAACCAAAAAGAAACTTGCATATGTGCAGTGTCACTTTGAAGAGAAAAACAAACCTCATACATGGCACAAGCAGATGCACCGTTGTATTGGAGAAGGTTTGCCCCAAGATTTTCACAGGTGCCCAGCTGATACAGCTAGGGCTAGAGCTGGGCTATATTTCAAAGAGCAGCTGATAGTCTTGCAGCAACCTTTCCACAAACTGTCACCTTGCAGCAAAAGAAATGCTTTGGCCTTTGGCACTAGGGGGAAGTTATTAATTTAGCTGTATCTAACAGCAAACCTGCTGCAGGCAACTCCAGTGCACAACCTGAGCTAGAGCGTTTAGGTAGGACCTCCAGTTCCACCTCCAGTTTCACTTCTTTCACTTCTTAATCAAAGCAGCAGCTCATGCCCGTAAAACCCAGCAGAAACACGTATTTTCCAAGACAGAAGGAACAATAGCTGCTCTGTTGCAATGGGCAGATATCAGATCACAAAAGCCTTTGCTGTACTGGTCCTTGTAATGAGGTCCCTGGAGCCACTACTGTTTTATTGGCCTCTTTAGGCCAAACATTTTAGGTGCTGTAGATTATGGCCATGCAAGAAACAGATTTTGTTCTCTTTCCTACCCTGTATTCATCCCTTCTGTAGAAATCCATGCAGAAACAACTGCTTCTGCAGCACCCTAAGGCTCAGCCAATGCCAAGGCATGGCTCAAACCCTCCTTAGCAGAGSTAGTTAAGTTTTGCTCCTCAGGGAGAGTTCATGAATACTTTTTGCACCTGCAGTGCAAAATGCAGGGTTTAATGCTTGCCTTTGCCGAGCTAAGAGTCAGTAGTGGATGATGCCATAACAAGATGATAATCTCTGAGACTCTGATTTAGATGAAACTAAGCATGGCTTTTTTGCTCTTGGATATCAGCTCCCAAAACAGCCTCACTCAAGCAATGAGGGTAAGAGTAGATAAGGAGAGTTTTTAAATAGAAGACTTAAGTGCTATCTCCACTTGGTTTGTCTTCTAGGTATGATTATAGCATTATAAATGCAATGGTTCTTTAGCTGGCTTTCTTTGCCCCTATGCATTTTGTGATGATCCTCTTTGGTGCAACAGAAAACATATCCCAAATTAAGTCACACAGACTAGAACATAGATTTATTAAAATGCCCCAAAGGGTCCCAGCCTACAGAAGTGTATAAAATTGGAGACAATGTCACTAATGTCCCTTTACACAAAAGGGACCTAGCCCTYGTTGAGCAGTGTCCTTCAGGAAAATAAGCCACTGCTGAGATGGTGACAGTGGCTTATTTCCTTTCAGGAGAACAAGGAACTCTGGCAAAGCTTCTCACATGGGAAGAGGAAACATGACTTTGTACCAAGACCTCTCTTTACAAGGTCCTTGAACACTAATTTCCTCAGTTCAAGGATGTTCAAGTTGAAGAAAACAAAAACACAATGGAAAATGTTCACCAGCTTCTGAAACGTGCACAAGATGGGCACACGTAGGTTTGAGCAACATAGGACTATTCTTCATGTATTTTGTGCCAAAAGAAATACACAGAGAAAGAAACCAGGCAGGCAAAGAGGCAAAGCGTGCAGCACGCCTAAAACTTTAATCTTTGTTTTAAAGAGTACAGAGCTCTAGAGATTTAAAGAGACACTTGTCTGCCCCCTTCCTTCACAGCGCTACCCCCCAGAGGAGCAATCTCTTTGTGGACGGGTTTGACTCCCCACGGAGTGAGGCGCACCCTGAATCCCCACAGCAGGCCCCACCTCAGGGCAACACTCGCACCTGCCCTCCACTTCAGTCCACTGGCTTTCACGGCAACAGGTAAGTGCGTATACTTGAATGCTGCTTTGAACAGGGCTGTTTTCACCTAACTAGAGGTATGAGGGACTCTACTTGTGGGGGGTTAACATGAAGGAGGRGGAATGCACAACACAGACAATCTTGTTCCCGTTTCAAAGGTAGTTTTAGCAGCAACCAGTATCTGACACAGTGGTAAAATCCTAGGRGAGACAGCTTAACTACAGAAGTGAGTACAAGGAAGAAATCTAATACCATTTAAAAATTATAGCTGTGAAATCAGTGAATGCCTTTTAAAGCAGCTTCCCAGGGTCAGTCAGACTTTCAGGTTTAAATATCCTCTACTCCTAATGCAGTTAAGCCAACTTACTTCTTTACTTTGATAATAGAAAAAGAGAACTGTCAAGACAATTAAAAAAAATACAGGAAAAACCTACAGAGTTCAGAAAAAAARGATTCTGGAAAATTAAAGTGTCTATATTTTACATTGTAGCTTTTCACTTTTTATCCCTTTGAAATATATTTAGTTTTAAATTAATCAGTTGATCATAAACTTTTAAATCGACGTGTTCCTTAGACATAATAAAAATGCAGACATTAACCCCACATGATCCATCTTTTAGATATCCCAGTAATAGAGCACTTCAAGTGGGGCTGGCGAACGTGAGGGTAAAACGTTTGGATAAAGGATGTCATGGCTGTAAGGAAGGACGTGGATTAGAGGAGAACGGGGAGTGAAGCAGGTGATGCTTTAGTCTGAATCTGAACTGTCTTGCTTGCTGCTGTGGTACTGGCTGACTGCTTCTTCCAAAGGGGCCATTGTACCATCCGGTCGCACTCCCATTGGTTTTATGAACTCATCCCTGTAAGACATGGAAAAAGGAGGAGATATTAGCGTATGTGCACCCATCAATTGACATGAATATAGTACAATCACATTCAGTATATGCTTTAATACATAATGAGCCTTTAAAAGGAAGTAATTCCTGCTGAAGCTCTCTCTTTGGCAGAGAGAGGAACAAAAACCCTTCCCAAATAGGTGGGAGGGGAAGAGGAGAATAGATAAAGACCTCATTCATGTAGGGCCAAACCTGCTTAGCCAATTAAAGGCACCATGGAAAGTCGGTGCMTAAGCGGCTCGGGACAAGGAGCAGGTTCACCCTTTTAAACACACAAACCAGCTTTTCTTCCAGGAGTTCCCTGAGCAGCACGTCCTCAGGAAGGGTCCCCTGCCACTCCGGCCAGTGTCCGCACACACAACTAAACTAAGGTCTTTGATGCAGATGTGCCTCGTTGCGGGTGACGTCGCCCTCGGGAGAGCACGCTCTGCCCACACCGCTTCCCAGGGTGTGTAAGTACTTGTTGATCCGTTTTCAGAAAAGCTGGCTGCTTCCAATGCTACTGCTTTTGTTTGCAGCCCTTTAATTACGGGATTGACAGCCATTTTAATCTCCTCAAAGCTCCAAAGGCCTCTCACCGGCTAATCCAATTATATCTACTCCACAAGCTACAGCCTCATCTGAGAGATGATTAATTATTGATTAAGCCAATCAAAAAGTATTAGCAAAGATTTATTTAATCCTTACTTTTTATCACCTAATTTATGTGAGGATTATAGGCAGAGCTGTGAGGGCCGAGATAACCCTCTGGTGCTCTGCTGAGAGACGGATGCACGCTCAGGAGTCACCTCAAATGACGCAGGAGAGACCTGGTGCCAGTGTCTTGGGCCAGCAGGGCAGCCCCAGGACACCGTGCCCGTTTGCCCCTCCGCTCCCCACGGACACTGAAACTCCCTGGCCGCGGGCAAGGGGGCACTTGGGCCRGCGAGGGGCACCCCTGGGTGCCAGGGCAGGTGCCCCCGCGCGGCGGCAGCAGCAGCGCCAGGGGAGCAGCRCCTCGCGCCCCGGCACAGCGGGGCTGTGTCCTCAGACCGCGGCCACAGGGCTCCGCAGGGCTTCTCCCGGAGCAGCCCGGCCTCTCTCCACGGAGAGCTTCGTCTACGYGCACGGACGTGGCAAACAGACACTGCAGCGAAGGAGGACTGCAGGAACTGGGTCTGTCAGTGAGGATCTTGTTTATGGGAAGAACTACTACACAGCACATGCCTTTGTAACTTAGCTTGAAACACCACAAATGACTGGAAATGTAATTATTGACAGAGCCCTGGCACAGGCTGCCCAGGGAGGCTGTGGAGTCTCCTTCTCTGGAGATCTTCCCAACCCGCCTGGATGCCRCCCTGTGCCCCGTGCTCTGGGTGTCCCTGCTGGAGCAGGRGGTTGGACTRGAGGATCTCTAGAGGCCCCTTCCAAACTCAGCCATTCTGGGGTTCTGTAATCAGGCCTGCAATAGCTGACAGTGTTAACTCAGCTTTCACTCTCAGAATTGGTGTTTATTTTTCAATCATACTTTTTTTTTTTTTGAGGAGAACCACCCAAGAATAAGTCCTTGTTCATATTTTTAAAGTCTTAAATGGTTAAAAAGATCCTCAAACTAAAAACAAAGTCATCTTTGCATTAGCTCTACGCTGAGGAGATCCTAGGGGTTTTGTTTATTTTTTAAATGTAACACATGCTCTTAGGTTACAACATTCAAAATCACAGCCAAAAGGAATGGAATCATCTAATTTACTATCCCTCTAAATTTCATTTTTATTATTTACAATAATGGATAGTAAAGGATAAAGGAATAGTTTAGGAAAACAAAGGAACTTCTAAAGAAAAATGAAAAAGAAGAAAATAATGAAATAATCAAAATATCCAAACCAGAACAGGAGGCTTACAGGGGGATAGAGACAGGGGCTTAAGGATGGAAACCACTTGAAAATGTGGATCAATTCTGCATGACCCCATAGTGGCTGTGAGGCAAGTCCTTGATGCAGTACTGATAAGCTAAGGAAAAGCTGGAGTGCGAGCACCCAGAGAAACTACAGGAATATACATTTCTATTGTTAAATACATGACTTCAGACTGAATTTTTACTGACTGCATGTTTTTTTGCTGCAGAACACATGCTGGCCAAGCCAGCTTTGGGGCTCAACCCTTGAAACAGAATGCAACTTAGGGACAGTGGGTGGAGAGCAAGGAGGTAACCTGCCAAGCTGCAGAAAAAGCTACGTGTTTTCTCACTGCCCCTGTAGGACATGCTGACAGCTACCTGGAAACAGGAGCTTCTCAAGAACTTCCATCTCATCGTCGCATTTGCCCATTATAAAGAAACAGCTGTTTCTCTGCAATTCCTCTTTCACATTTCAATTTTACGCCCCTGCTACCCACATTCCACAACAAAATACAGACTTTGTCTCCAAATGAGTCATCTACAGAATCACTGGGCACTAGAGCCGGCAAGTAAGACATACCCACAGGCAGGAGTCTAGTTTGGGGAGGGAGGGAAGCGTTCAGACAAACACTGTGTTTTGCAGGCATGGTAACTCCAAGGTCCGAGTTCACTGAAGTGCTTTTGTATATTCCCTCATGATGCTCCAAAGCCTACGCTGTTAGTCCTAGGATGGTGTGAAATGGTTATCCTTTCACTGGTGAGGACTTGCTGCAYGTTGCAAACACAGCTCAAGCTCACTGATGTATTTCAGAGAGGAAAAAGACACAGGTAGACAAATGGATGAAGAAGAAATCTGGACTGTTACAAAGGTAGCATGAGAAATTTGGTGAAAAAAATCATGTTAATTTAAATAAAGTTATTTTGGATGGACTTGCAGAGGTGTCACTCAGCCAGGCATGACAGGGGAGCCGACCCTCACGTGGGACAAGCGGCCTCAGCTCTGCCAGCCTCAGCAAGTTGCCCACTTGGCACTCACCACTCGGAGACCTCGACTGAGCTTTGTCACCTGGGGTCAGCTGAGGATGGGTTCATTGCTTAAGATGAGCTACAAAGTGGCAGGGAAATCAGAAACTGGCACATATGCCTTCTGAAAACACTGCATTATTCAGAAGCTCTATCTTTACAGTCAGCCTACAGCACAGAAGAGAGAACTTCACCCCAGTAGGTGGCAGTGTGAATTCTTCTGTAGCCATTAAGATCTACATAAATGCACAAATGTGCATGTTTATACACCTTCACACATCCTTATGTGGCCTCCCATACAAATACATTTTTTTTTTTGCAACATTCATTTTTTCTAATGCAAACAAGGCATTCAAGCGCTCTTGGAGACACACCATAATGAAACCTTTGGCAAAAGCCATTCTCTTCTTCCACTTGCAGATCTCCCGAGAGTCTCTTCGAATCCACCCATACAAGTTTTAGCTTCCCGCTTGCCATTTAGCTTGATAACGACTCCAACACCATTCCCTTGTTTTGAAGGGTGCCTCTTTCTTGTGCGCTCCGGGCACCGCGGGGCAGTATTGACACAGGGAATTAATGACGGTGTCTGTAATGGAACAGCCATCCTGCAAACACCAGTCCCTCGCTTTGATAAAGCGGCATGCTAGGGACCTATTCACCTCCTCATAATTGAGCACGACATAATAGTTCCGATCCTTTCATGCAACATTATTTTCTTCTATGATTAGGACAYGGAAGAAAAAAAAAAATCTATGTAGCACTGCCTTCTTCATTCACCCCTCTGATTAATTTTGTTTTTAATGAGTATGACTGCTTATTTAGGCAGGCTCTCTACCCTACTTGTTTTGTTGACTTCTGTTCAATGCACAACAAAACCCAAGCTGGGATAATTGGAGACCATTTCAGCAGCAAAAGAATTCTTGCTATTAATACAAGGTTGGCTTGGAAAAAGCACCCCGACATTTTAAATTAATCAGTTAATATACAATTCTACTTACCATTTAATAGGAAAAAATGTTAGCATATTTCTTCAGACATTTTAATTAACACAAAGTCTTTCCGATAACCTCTGATATAAACAGACAGAATATCATCCAACAATGATTTAATCCAGCTAATGTTGATATTCTGTAAAACCAAAACGCTGAGCTTTCTTTCTGCCAATTTAAAGAGTTTTTCAAAGCTTAAGGATGCGCCTCATGCACAATGGATACTGATTTACAGCCTGCAATTCTCAACAATACCCTTATTACAGACAGCGCCTATAGAGCTCTCTCATATAGGGGCACATTCAGACATCCAGCAAGTTACCTAAACAAAATCTCCATCTCCCAGGAACTTCAGTAATCAAGATTTTTCATCTTCATTTATTTATGACCTATGGGATTCTACTGCTTTTCAAAAGCAACCTCAGCAAGTCAGATTTCAGCAAAACATTCACTTCTATAAAAACTTTAAAAAAGAAAATCTATGTCTAGATATCAAGATATCAGCGATAGAAATGTGGTTCACACACAGGTTCTCAGCTTTTCTTGATGCATATCCATAAAACAAAACTGGTTGATTTTTATTTAACCTTGTTGGGAATCAAATACCTTCTGAACAGGCCAAAAGAACAAGGAAAAAAAAAAACAAACAAAAAAAAATCCAAAGCAAATCTGGAAAATAACTGCTCAACCAACCTAAAAACACAAATCAAATTTACATCACCTCAAAGCAGTTACAATTCTTCAATACCAGAATCCTGGAGAGCAAAAATCCACTAGCATCTTACAGAACAAGGCAGAAAATACCACTTTATTAGSGTTTCAATAAACTTGCATAAAATAGTACAACTTAACCGCACAGTGTATGCAAATTGTCAGCAGCCATTAATGAAAGCTGTGGCTTTTCATTAAAATGGTGCTGTTCTGCAAATCCCTTTGCTGAGGAACTCAACCTGTCATCATCAGGTAATTTTCAGACAAGCAAGCCAGGCAATCACACATCCAGAGTGCCAGACCAGCCCGATGGTTCTTTCCAGCTGGGGAGYGAAGCAAGTTCGATAGCCCTTCATTTTGTCTACCACAAAGGCACMCGAGATCTTTAGGGCTCACCTTCCAATACTGGGACCACAGTACCTGTACTAAGGAAACCAGAAATGCTCTTATCACACGAGCACATTCTTGTTCAAGATGCACAGGTCTTGGTCAGTGCCCACACACACACGTAGACGTGGCCAAGATGWGCAGATGGAACTGTTACCAACCTGTCCCTGTCCAGCTTCCCCCCCTTTTATCACTAGCCCAAACTGAACCTGCTCAGTTCAGGGTACAGCACTTCCAATGGCAACAACCAGGAAGGGCAGAATTTGCGAGTCTGCCACCTGCAATCTGCCTCAAAGCAACATTCATGCCCAAGAACCAGCAGAAGTCTCATACCCAAGCACCCTCCTGCTTACAGTTTTAAGTTACAAAGCAGGAAGAAAAGGGTATTCCGTGAATACCCTGTGAAAACTCCTTGTACCAAAAGGAGTAAGCTGGAAGCACAAGTGTTCAACTCTAAAAGAGCAGAGGGACCTGCTACTATTAGCATACTACTAACACTTTATTCTTGCCTATAAGATGGGCAACTTGCCAGTTTATTTAACATCTGTACAAAACCTACAATCACGCTCAATTACACTCCCACATCCCCCCCCCCCAAAACATCCCACAGTCTCCTGAAAACAAGCTATTTTTTTCTTTTAAACAAATAAAAAGGGGGAAAGAACAGCCAAGTGATTTTACTCATGTTAGCACAGCACCTGAAGCTGCCAAATCACCAGAACTCCGAGCCCGTGAAATCAGCAGCCCACAGTAGTCACCACAGCAAAAAAGAGAACAACATGGCAACMAACAGCCCCAGTCCTGCAGCGTTGGCCATCTAAATACAAGAGGAAAAACCCTCAGGTGGATGTGGCTGCCAGAGGAAGCCCAAGGCAGGGCGGATGCCACCGGGGCAGCGGCTGAGTAGCGCCCCAGGACACCAGCTGCTCCGTCACGGTCACCCCGCAAGCGGCAAYGCGGCCGGCGCGCTCCAGCCTCCGGCCGGGAAAGGGCCCGGTGCTGCGGCGGAGCCGCTGGGTTTTATCCCGCTAACAGTTACACTGAGAGCAACCTGCCTTTAGTCCTAGGTTGTCTCCAGTCTCAAACTTCTTTCCTGCAATCGCAGACCAGTTTGTCACTTCATTATTGCACCCGTAAAGCTCAGCTTCTTAATCCTACCCATTCCATTCCTTCCATTTTACACAGCAGTTCAATTTAGTTTGCGTATGTACTCTTATTTTCTTAATTAAGATAGTGACCCTTTCCATTCCCTTTCCATGCAAGGAATGTGAAAAACAACTATACAATTGCTACACTGGCAGTTAGCTTGAAATCCTTTCCTGCTTTCACCCCTGAATTCAATCTTTACCAGCTAATACGAAATCCAGATTCACCCCTATCTTTTGCASAATTCTTAACCTTTAGGAGAGCTGTAAAAAGACATAGTTTGATGAATTTATATCACAAGTTCTTGCTATTTSAATATGCCTTAACTCTTTCAGGCACAAAGGTGTTTCTAGTCTCCATATCTTCATATGTTTGAAGAATGATCCACTTAAATACTTATCTAGGCTAAGTTCTTACAGCTCAGGTCACTGACAAATACAAATGACACCATGTCTTCCTCAAATATCTTACACTTTGCTCAAACAGAAAACAAACTACAAGCAAACACTCCAACATGTTTACAACTAATGGAGAAGAAAAATTCTGTAGATTTTGAGTATATTGAGTAAAGTAACAAACAGCTACAGTCACCACTATGGCCTGCTTCCTTCTTTGTATCAAGAAAATTGCAAATTCAACCAATTTTCTGTATAAGGAACCTATGCYTTCATTTTAATTTATGGCATTACCTTATATTAAAAAAAAAAAAAATTGGATGTCACATTATAATCCAGTCCACATTTATTCTAACACTGCTACAAAAATTTGTACCTGAAATGCACTTTAATTGCTCAAATATATATAAGTATAGAAAATACCTATTCTTCTGTTGACAGCTGTGTTGTCAACGTCTATTCACATCTATTATATCCACCTACTCTTCAGTCAAGCACCAGACATAAGTTGTTATCCTCAGATGACTGCTCACAGCCTTGGGGGATAGGAGTACACTTGCCTTGGGCTTGGATTTTGTCCAGTACTTCAAATGGAGAAATTCTTGTCGTTACCAGTTCAGCCTAACCACTCAGGAGGTTCCCTCCTCATTTTCAGGCTACTCCATCCTCTCCAAATGTCGTTTCCTATAAAGTCATGTTAAATGTCACTCTTTCCTTTGAGGTGCTAGACATTTACACTCTGCAGTCCAAGTAGTCCTAATTCTGCAAAGAAGTTGGTTATAACAGTATTTTGGAGACTAGATGTTAGCAAAGAACAGATAGCCAGGGCCTGAGGTCCCTCTCTGCACAGCAACTGTAATACATTACCTGGAAAGTTTATCAAACATGTTGACAAGTTTCATGGCTTCATATTCTTTTTGTTCTTCCGTCATTTCATCCATAGGATTGGGCATCGGTTCTTCTAAGTGACCGGTGATAAGGTTAATGCTGGAGGGGGGAAAACACTATAGTTTACATTCCTATATACAYGCACATGTATATTGCCCATGTTCACAGGCAGGATGCAGACAGAAACCATCAAAATTAACATCATCAGAAGAGCACGTGAAGTTTCTACCATAAACAGCCAACTTTTGAACAGTTTCTGTCCACCTTATAGTCTATTCCTATGATTCATTGCATTAACTTCTAGTTAACGATTCAGAAATGCATGTCCCACTAATATTGTGTTATAATTCACACACAAATAGCAATAACGATATAAAGAGACGGAAAGCAGAATGACAAATATCTGTTTGTGGCCAATTTTCTACAGGCTTAATTTTAAACGTATGAAACAGCTTCAATAAGTTTTTCTGAAATTTTGAAGTAGCTTATCCTTCCTCTCTCAGGATCATTTTTGCTCAAACCAAACTAAAGTTCCATTGCAAATTCCCAATGCCAGTTGTTTTAGCTGCTAAAGCAAGTCAGTTTGATACAAAAGTGGGAATTAACAAAAATAGAGAGGCAATTTTAAGAAGGATTCTCAGTGCAAATCACCTTTTTAAATAGTATAATCAAACATTTAAAATTAGCAGGAAAGTCAGACTCATGAAGTGACTGACATCTATCTGGGACGTTCCACTCGAGGTCACCTTTTAACTAAACAGATGTCTGGTTTTCTTTATATGCATATAACTAGATATCATCTGGAAGAAGTGCAGAAACAAAATAGCAAGGAAAAAATCCCGAAGTGCAGAGATAAACACAAACCTCTTGTCTTTCAATTTTTCCTGTTTTAAACATAGAAATAATATTGTTTCTGTAACTTTTTGTACATTTAAGCCTGCCTTCCATCTAGGTTCCTTATCAAGAGTCCTCCACTAAACCTCAAAACCTCCCCAGCACAAACCTACTCATGTATGGGTATTTTTTCAAGAAAACTAAGTACAGCCAGAAAAAATAACATATTTCAGGGGCCTCCCATCAGCAACCTCAGAACACACTACGAATGGTGTTGAAACATGCCTCTAATGTAACTCACACTGGAACTTCCAATTTCAAACAAATTGCAGTTAATCAAAATTAAGAGAGACAGCTTCTACAGGATGGCTGAATCCTTCAAAGATATATATTAGATTTCTCAAACATGACTTCTGTAGAATTTATTCTGCTCTTCTCATATTTATCTATGTGACTTAGTCAATTCTTTATGAAAATCCAAGCACCAGGCAAGTTGTTCCTTCTTAAAATATCCCTTTAAAAAACTTTTATTTTGTTATAGAGTGATACTCTATGTGCAATAGAGTAGTCTGGTAGCCTCATACGAGTTCTTGAAGATCTGGGGCAAACAGCATTCTGATAGCTTTTTTTGTATTATTATTTTCTAAACTTGTTCAATTTATTCTCAACACTATTTTCACACTTGATTTTTATATAGTTTTTCAGACTCATAGCCTGTTAAAAAAGAGGTATGGCCTGAAAAACTCATCTACAGCATGATGCAYGGAATTCCCTTAGTTTTTTTTTGCTATGGACTTGCTTCCTTTTTCTGCCCTACTTGCATCTCAGCTACTTAATGACAGTCTACACACTGCTGGCTTCCTGCCTTTGCTCAACCTTTGAAAATTGTTCCCTTCAGTCACTAGTAAGCTGTTCTTCAAAACCTTTTGGGTCTGCTTTGCTACTGTTTTACACTGTCATCTCTGAGAGCCTTCTTTATTCTCATTCAACAATTCCAGCTYTGCACAATTTCTTTTTAAATGTCATTTAAATCAACGGCGTAAATATATTCCGAACCTCTAATATCTTCAGGCTGTTTGTAGATTATCCACAAATATTTTGCCTTGCCGTTCCTTTTTTCCCTTTGATAAGCACTTCATCTTTATGTAGTTTCCCCTGCTGGGGTTAAAGCATTACCACAGTGGATTTTGGAGGGGATCTATCTAAGTCTATCACAGTGTCTGTTAGATGCTATCTCCACCATGAGCTCAGAATTCTGCACACAATTCCTAAACTGGCATCTTTAAAAAAACGGAAAACAAAAACGCTGTCAGAACTCCTAAACAGCGGTGGGAAATGYGGAAGTGAAAACAACACTGTACTTGGGCTTGGCAGATTTGTATTCTTCAGTATCTGTGTCTTCATCATCCGAGTACCAATGATCTCCTCTTCCTCCTGCCAGCAGGCCCCTYGCTGCCAGCAGTCCTGCCGCGTTACCGTAGCCTGTGTATTTTAACAGGGTGTCCACTGCAAAGAGTGATACAGAAAACGTGTTCAGCTACAACTCGGGTAAGCTACGAAACAACATTATTTGACAACATGTCATTGCGTTAAGAGAACYGAGTGTGGTTAATACACTAACTATGCCAAGACCTTACATAAAAGGGAAAGAAAAGACATTTATACCTCTCTCTTTACAAAGAACAAAGAGAAATTCTGCTGCAATTTGCTTTACTCCAAGGTCAACATGTGTCATAAGGCGTACAAGCTTGTTCCTCACCGTCGAGCCAACTTCGGGACGATTTGATACATCTCTCAGCGGAGGCAATACCTGGGACCATAGAAAAAAACGGAAAGAAGGATGGAGTGCATGGAAATACCTATCAAATCTTTGCAGAAACTACCTGTCGGTAGGACAGAAAAGCACTGTAAGCTCTGCTCCTTCAAGGAACAGAACTAAAGCAACTCAGTTCTGCTGGTATCAGCAATGATTTTTGCTTAAACAAATATCTTTAACTCAAACATTCAAGAAAAGGACTATCTCAAATATTGTTGTTTTTGCAATCTAAGCTCAGCTTTCTTGTGCACATGTATTTTGACTCAAAACCTAGATTTTTTTTTCATCTGCACAGAATGGTATGAGCTGCAGACAAATCTGGGCTGTAGTGTGAAATATTTAATGGTGTTGAAGATTCCTGTAAGAAGTATGGACCTTCAGTGTTTTACAGTGAATAAAACCCAGCTTTGCATTGATTGCCATTAAAAAACTGCAGGTGTTGTCTTCTAGGCATTTAAAACCTCATCTTCCACATACATTTACTCTACAAATGTTACTGAAATAGGACTCAGTAGCAACYGATCCTTAAACAAATGAATACTATGGATGGAAAAATCAGGCCACGTGTYTTTCAAGCAACATACTCAAATTCTAGTTACTTTCCAAAACAGAGCTGGGTACCACAAGGGCCATTTCACAGAGCACTGTAAAATGAAATAATGCTTTTGGCATACTCTAACACTGGTAGAGCGATGAGTGCCATAGGAAAATTCGAATAGTGCACAATAAATAAGGCCCGAGGGTGACATTTAATAACGAGGATAATTCAAGTTATCAAACAGTTGGTCACAGAGTTGGCTTCAGCATCCATTCATTCTGTGCTGCGTGTGAGGCAGCGTTAACAGACTACACGCAGTTGTATCCTGATGTCTCGGCACCAGCATGCAGTTAAAAACCATGCAGACAACTTCATTCTGTAACTTCTCAATGTTTGGCTCTGCAGCTTAAAAACAAAACAATCAGAAGAGTCTCCTTGGAAAAGAACTGTTGCAAACAAATGAATAAAAACCAAGAACTATTTCCTAAAAAAATCCCCCAAACATTTTCCTGGTATAGCTGACAGAGGAGGAACACACGTGCAGAATATTTTCTTTTGTTTTAGATTCCATTCATGAATTTAGGCACAGCTGGCATCTAAACTGCAAGCCTGGAAACCACTGCAGGTTATAGGAAGGAACGTCCCACCTCTCAGCTGGTTTTCAACTACCATTTCTTTCTTGCTTGGCTTTTAAATTCTCTCCCCTTGACTTCAGAGAAAGCAAAGTGCCCTCACTGCACATACTACCAGCCACAAAGCCATAAAGATAGTTTAGACCTACAACCACAGACTGGAAATCTCTTCTTTCCTGTAGAGAGCCTACCCAGGCTCTGCACTGCACTTAACAGCTCTTTTAAGAGAGCGTGTGATGAAAGGTGTGCCTCTAGGCAAGAGTTTTACCCTGACAGGACAGCTGGCCTAAGCTGTAAGGTAAGTTTCAGTGCCAGCGACTGAGTGACACCTGCTGAGGCTCAGGCAGAGGCCACCAAAACATCAATGGCCTCGCTGGCTACCACGCGCCTCTGCTGCTTCACTAAATGCACCGGGGGCTTTTTGACATGCTGCACATAGCGGGGCAGCCCTCACTGGAAATTTAATATGAAACCATCTGTACTTCGGAAGTATCACTGCCTTTCACTGAGGTACAAGTCTCCAATTCTGCTATTGTACAAGTCTTGAATTTTGCCATTAGGTTTGCAAGCAGGTTCTCATGAATGTTTTACCTACCTGAGCTTTGATAAACTTCCTGATATTCCTGTGAGTTCGGCAACACTCAGTTAATAAACTGAGAACCGGAGTCAAACCTTCTCTGTAGCTGCTTCCCTAGAATCCAAACAAATGTAAGCAAATTATTTTTAAGAGCAAGTTGCCTGTTTCCAATCCCATGGGCCCTTCAACAAAATCCCATGTGACAGCCAAAACACGAACCCTACATGTYCACGTGAAAGGCCACACATTCACTGTCCTGCACACAAGCAAGCAGTACTTCAGACATTTATAGGGAGTGATTTGTTCCCACTTTTCAAAGTGTTTCACAATGCAGAAGCAAGGACATCCACATTTCTACCAAAGACTGTTTTTGTAAGGTTTATAAATAATTTAACCTAACACAGAATAATTTTTTTAATTAAAGGAGGCCCCTTTTATCAAAGAYGTTTAAAGCCCATACCTTGTCTATTCTCTTCTCCATAAAATCCAGTAAAATTTGAATTGCTCCCATGTTCATGCCGTTGTATTTAACGTGTGTTTCTTCTTGACACGAYGGACTAATAAGAACATCCAAGCAAGAAACTGGCACATTGCTTAAGAGGTTGATTGCATTGCTGAAACAGAATTCAGAAAGTCCCCAGTAACGCAGAATGAAAACCAGTACAACTCACCACAAGGCGTGTGCTCAACTGCTACTAAAGGGAGGCCCAGCAACGTAACGTTTCATTGTGTGTTCTCTCCGTTTTGCAGGGGGTGAGCTGCGTTCCTGCCTGCCTGCTGACTCGTGGGATGAGCAGAGGTGACAAGGACAAGGTGAGCAAAGGCTGCAGCTTCCAGCCCTGCTTCCCCCCTGCGCGACGGCAGGGGGACCTCTCACATTGCCGAGAGGCAGCCCCGCGTTTAACCTCTGAAGCTTCAAACATTCTCCAATCTGTAGTACTGCATTACTGCAACCACCGCGGGGAAATGCACTGTGGAAAATAATTCCTCCTCCTTAAAACAACGGGGTCCGGAAGTGTCCTAGGTCCTCAACAATACTTGCTCTCTTCCTTAAAATGTAATGTAGAGGAACTATTAAGACATCTAATAAATAGCAGAAGATCCAGGTTTTATTTACCCAGCAGAACTTTTCTTCAACRGTGGCATTCTACAAAGCACTAGCAGGGGTGATACTCTAAAATCAAGCAGCAATTTATTTCACAAACACTCCTRCCAGCATCTAGCAAGACACACATATCCAAGTTTTGTTCAGCATGAAAGAGCAGTGCTTCTCAGATATCCATTAAGTGATTTAAATTAGACCATAGGGGCCCTGCCTCCTCTTTACATTAACTGGCTTTGCAAAGTTCTCATGGACGATACAGATCCCTCGCGTTGGCTGCCTACCCCGTCCTCATTGCTGACGTGTGTTGTACTCTTCCTGAAGCTGATGCTAAGTTACACGGAGGCTGGAAAGAGTAGATTTCTGTCCCTGTTAGTTGCTGAAGACCAACTAAAACTAAGTGGATGTATTTAGAAATAAGGCAGAACTCGGCAGATTTACATAAGCAGACTCCAAAGCTATCAGCAAATCCATAAGCTCTGAAAGTGTTTCAAGGATAGACAAAATACTCCAAGAGCAGAGACAGCTCTCCAGACAACTTCACTAACACATTAAAAAGCACTTACTTTGGCGCAGCCCTCAATTTTTACACTACTTAATACAGCTCTAACAAGCCGAGCAGAAAACAGAGATTCAAAAGTAATGGAGCACATTCCTAGCAAACGCGCTGTTTTAATATCAAACTGAGTGACTTTGTCACATAATGTCATCTTCCTTTTGCTCTTTTAGCATGTAAAACATGGATAACTTATACTTTCTGGAAGGACTGTTTTATTTCTAATTCCCATTTAGGATATTTTTTATATCAAACAAGTTTTACCCCCTCTCCAGTCATTCACGAATAGCAAGCAAGAGGACTGACTGAAATTCAACAAATATTTGGTGGCTTCAGGCCTTTCATCAAAAGTTCTCTTTTTACTAGTTTCTTATTAAACAACCGAGTTCCCAAACACCTACAAAATTAATTTTCTGGATCACTGTGTCTGAGCTATTCTTTTCAATAAACGAAGCCCGGCTTTCTGATCTTTGTCAYTTCACTGACAGTTTTATTTGTGGCCGAGGAGTGTATGAAATTCTCCAGCTACCAGGAAGTCAGGGGCTGTGCGGGGCCCCGCACAATAGTGTTTGCATTCCTGCTCCAGGGGGTAGCAATACTGCGTATATTACTCTCCCCTTTCGGGCTTCCCAGAGATCATTAATCACCGGGACGTGACACCCACCCACTCCCGCTCCCAGCCCCCTCCTGCTATGCAAATTTGGGAGCAAAGGCCTGSTTAGAGCTGCTGAACGCCTGGATTCAAACCCTGGCTGTGGGCGAAACGGGCGCTCGCGCGYGCTGCCTGGAGCTGCTCGGGTTCGGGCGCCGAGTAAGGACACGACACAGCCATGATTATGGCAACAAAACAGCTCCCACGTTAGCCGTTTTCCTTGCRTGGCTCCTGCCTGTTCCTTAGGAAGGAAAGTCAAACTGCCCCTCGATGCATCACAAGCCAGGGGCTGWATCCGGGAGCTGCTGCTCGTTCAAAATAAATCCTCAGCATCAGCTTCCAGATCCCAAGCATTCCATATGCAAGACTAACAGGCTGTCAAATCCCTTCATTTAAGCATCTTATATTCTATAGATTTACCAACTTACAGGAGTGCAAGTGAACAGCAACTGTAAGAAACATCCTTATGCCACCCTGATGGGTGGCATGAGGTTTATTCTGCGCTCCAGTCTGTTTATACTGTATTCTTTTCTCTTTAAGAAATGCCTTGCTGATGGGCTGCAGGTGGATTGCCGAGATGTTGAGCTCTGCTCTGAGTTGCGCCTTATCTCCAGCAATAAAGGTCCAGAGTTCAGCACACTTGGCCTGGCTGATGCCACGGCCTCGTTTTACAGCCATGCTATGGGCTGCTAACACAGGTTTACTCATTTCATACTGAAACTCTCATCTGGAACAAAGCACGTGGCCGACTTACTACGTCAGGGCACTCGAGTGAGCTGTCCAGCTCCTCTGAGGATTATTAGGAACACTGCACTGGACTGCAACTTTTCCATTTCAGAACTGCCTTGKGATGAGTGAGATTGGGGGGGAAAGTGTATTAAAATAAAAAGAAARCAGAATAATTTATTTCTGTTCCACACACGGATTTAGGTATGTCCGTGGAGAAGACAGCATGCTAGCATTTAATTGACAATACGACATTACATGAGTAGCACGCAAAGACGAAATCCAGGTTTTACAGACAAGCTGGAAAATTTGACTTGGAAAGCCTGGATGGACACTGACCTGACAGGTTAGCAAACCTGCTTAACTCATAAATCAAGATCAAATACAGCAGGCAGCAGAGCTACCCTTCCATGTTTACTTCTACCAGCCTGAGCTAAAGAAACGAGCTAGAGCAGCATGACAGAGGGAGTAAACGGCTCTTCGAGAGCAAGAGAGATCCCTGCAGCTCTGTATGGAGCCTGATGCAGCAGAGGAGCTGAGGCGACTCAAAGCAGCTCGAGCTCGTTTCCCTTCTGCCTGTATCTCCCCTTCTCCAAGATCGGGAAGAATCCTTGATTGGTGCGTGTGGAATGGTAGAGGGTCCACGCAGAGCAGACAGCAAATCTACACAGTATATTTCTTCTGACTGACAAAAACAAGGGCAGAAATCACATCCATATCACACTGGCTCCCTAGCTGGTAACTTCTAGCCACAAAGCCCTGTTTGGGCCTGATCTGTGTCTGCAAAAGCCAGAAGCAGAAGTACTAGCATCATAACATGCACTCAGGCCAAGATGAACTTTCAAGGGTGATATATTTCACAGGGTATCAGCATAGTCCTATATTCCCGGACTAGGAATCAGAGCATGTTCTCACCAGAAGAGCAGCAGCTGCAGAGTAACTCTCTGTAATATCAGACAGTTTCACTGGTTTAAATACAGGAGGCTTTATCTTCTTGAAGTTATGAAACTTGTCCAAATCTCTTCAATATTCCCAGCTATGGAAAAATTATTCCCTTTAAGCTCTTCCTTAGGGCGAGATGAGAGGCACCCACCCAAAGCAGCACAGGCAGCAAGTGCCTTTTAGGACACAGTCACACTCATTCTTACWCATGGCAGCTGCTGCAGGGATACCCGGACTGTCTGCCCCAGCTGAGAGGGGCTCTGGCGTAGGATCTCTGTGCTCAGCTACTAAGATTGCTGACTCCTGAGACCCTCCTAAGATTTTAATCAAGTTCACTGAAAACTAAACACACTGCTGGGTGGGAAAACCTGCATCCTCATCTGGCTCAGAATTAGATCTTTAAAGGATCCTGCACTTAGATATACAGATATTCTGCAGAAAAAAAAAAAAGACAATTGCCTTTTTCAAGAGATTGACAGGAGATAATATGGGATAGTGTTTGAAACTACTATACTGGGGGGCTTTTGGRCAATTGATCTATTCAGAAAGAGAAAAACAACATGAGAAAAAGTGAATAATTTTAAACAAGGGAAACTACTGTCTCATCAAAAAAACMACTCTGAACTTCGGGTTTACATTTGCAACCAATAATTCAAACAGTTAAATGCAGGACTGAGAGGGAAAAGGAGCTTTCATTAAGAACATGGAKAGATTTTAAACAGGTTAACAAAAATATAATTTTCATTGCTTCTCTAGTTCTTTTCRATATCAACCAAAATATTTTTTTCTTAAATTTAACTTTTCAAAATAGATTGGTTCTGCAACGCTACCAACCTGTGCAATTCTTCCGTTTTGTCTTCAGTAGGGCCRCTGGTTAATAAGCAGTGTCGGAGGATGGCAGCCATGTAACGAAATTGATGAGATTCATTCTATATAAATATAAATTATGAAGATATTTTTTCATTTTGAAGATTGCAAGTGAGGGTTTCAGGTCACTAGAATAATAAAAATTAAAGATGGAAAATACCTATTAGATCATAACATCCATCCCTACCAATAAAAGGACTGTACCTTAGAGTTCACTGAACGCTTAGTGCAAGAGAGCTTTGCTTAGGTGGCTGTTCAGCATCCTTGGGGATTGCTTTCCCACCAAAGGGGCTTTCCRGGATTACTTTCCCACCAAATGGGCTTTCACTACCCCAAAACCCACAGGGATATTCAGGCCAGTTAGAACCGTTCACTTAATTCCACATCACTATTCTTAGTTACACCTCTACCATCTTCCTTCGTGGGATCTCCTGCAGCCTTCTCTTCACCCATTTRGATTCCATTTGTTCATTTTCTTGCCTCATTCCCACCTCCTCTTTTTGCTGCCAGCAGTCTCATTTCCTCCACCTGATCTGTTTCCTTTTTTAGCTCACTCCTTTTCCCTTGATATTTTCTCTCCATTTACTTCTACATTTCTCTGCTCTCATCAACCTTCTTTGCCCTATTTTGCACTTCCCAAGCATTTCTTCCCACCAATTCCCCATCAAACAGCAGTCACACAAAGTGTACCAATAACTGCTATCATTTCATTATGCATGGCATGGTCCTATTCCCTTTTTTATTAGTTTTTCTTGGCATCCATCGTATTTTGGCGTGTTTGTTGCAGCACAAAGCACCCAATGCATCAATGTCCAAATCTGCCAACTGCACCAGCTTGGCTGGCTTTGCTGCACTGGTATCATCTCCAGTCATTAAGTGCTGATGTTTTAAATTATTCTTTTCCCCATAGTAGGGCTCTCAGTTGTCTACCCACATGCCTAAGCTTCCTGGGTCTCCTTTTATTTTCCACTCCCTTTAAAGTTTGTAGTGTCTTCAAATCCCTAATCTTCAGCACACTTCATTCACATGCTGTGGACTCTTCTGGCAGACCGTTAATATTTCCACAGGGAGCTAAGCAGAATCTCACTGACCATCTCCTTAATGCTTCACAACTAACAAAGAGTTCTTTAAATATATATATATATATATATATAAATAATATTTTTGTCTTTAGGAAGTTCTGACTATAACTGCTTTATTTCAAAGCCAAAAACAAGTTCTCCAGCCTCAGTACACCCTAAGCACTCATCTAACCTATAAAAGGTTAGTAACACCAGAATTTCCTCAAAGTGGAGGGAAATTTCTGGGGAGAGAAAGTTTAATGGGACAAAATCTCCCTTATTCTAGAGAGACCAAGGTATTGAGAGACATGCATAAAAACCATGTGCCATAATCCATCCTTCTTTCAGAACTGAATTGAACTTAGAAAATACTGGGGATCTCAAGAGGGCAAAAGAGCGTAACAAGTGGAAAACAGACTCGGATTCTAAGAGGGTACTTCAAGAGCTGAACATTTAACATTGCTTCTTTTTCCAGCTTAATATCTGAATTTCCTTCCTTCACACAGCAGTRTTTAATCACAAGTACTTCTTTTAAAACTCTCACGCCACAGACATTCATACRGCTGTGTTATTGACTTGAGTTTGGGGCATTTTTTCTGATCTGAAATGAAATCATTTGCCTATAAAGAGCATTTTCTTCCTTTGGGAAAAAGGAAGATATTTTTAGAGATAAAGATATCTTTAATACAGGCCTAGGCTAGAAGTATAAAAAAATCTCAGTTATTTCCCATTTTTGTGATATTTCGTGACTATTCTGATTTCTCCTGCACTACCTTACTGTGGGTAGTTCACTTATTCAGAGTGCTCTCGGGCCATTTTAGCAAGGCACAAGTTTTAAACTCAATTTTCAAGTTTCATATTCCTACTGAATCACATTTAATGTAATATTAATATCATATTAGCTGTTCATCAGTCCAATGCACTAAGCAGAACAATTAGTTGTCCATTTTAACTTCCCCAAACCTCTGCACAGTTTTATGCACTGGATCACAATTACAATGCCCAATTAAAAGGTCACACTCTTTCAGAGACAATATTTTGTGCGATAAGAAGATACATACTGATACTCTTATTTTACTTATTGAGTACTCTTATTTACTGCTTTGGAGAGTTAAGTTATTTGGAAGAAAGTTATGAATATTTTTTGCTTCTAAACTTTTAGAGATATACCACATAGCAAGCACACTTGTCAGGGCAGRGAAGAGATTTTATATCATGAAAAAAAGAAAAAAAAAAAAATCTTATGCAGGTAGCAACGAAAATGTATTTGGCTGTTGCATTCCATGTCATCTTAAAAAAAAAAAAATCAAGTTTCAATCTAGACATGAGGCTAGGAAAGAAAGACTTAAAAATAGTCCTCTTACTATTTCTTCACCCAGCAGAATTTATTATCAAGCATTAGAGGTGATGTGCTTACAAAGATGCCCAGAAAAGCTAAAGGAAGCATGGGAGCATTCTTAGCTGTATTCACTATTCTACAGCCAACAATCTTTAGAGATGTAGCTGACAGAAACATATCAGCAAGTTTTTCCTAGCCTGCTAGTGGTTAGCAAACAACATTTATTTTGGAAGTCTCTGACTCTCGTTAAATACAGTAGAATGCATCTAAAAAGAGTATTTCAACACGTACAGTTATAACTTGTTATTATTTTAGGTTATATGTTATATTTTGTGTTATTAGACTATATAATACATTGCATAATACAAGATACTCTCGCACTACACAGATACATGTATTAATTTCTTAAGTAGTAACAAGAGAAAAACTTTTTTTTTGGCATTCAAAGTAATGAGCTTAAAGACTCAGCAGCTCTTGAAAACCCACCATCATCCCTACGCAAMCAGAATTCAGACACAATGTTTTTCAGACAGATTTTACATATATAGAAAGTAACTACAATGCCAAGACCACCTCAGCTACTGTTCTAAAAATCCTGATCTATCTTATAATTACAGCAATGAAAAAGAACAAGGATTAAAATACTCGTCCTTGAGTCTTGGGAGCCACCGCCTCTTGAGCATCTACATGGTGGCCACAGCTCCTGCAGCCTAAGCAAATCCACCTAGAAARCACTTCAGCTAGGTCTTACCTCGCTGTGGACATTCCAACTGTCAAGGGTTACATTAAAAAGAGCCTTTAGGGCCTCAATGGCGCAATCTGTCTCTTGCAGAGATAAAGGAGGCCTGTCAAGGTCTTCAGCTGCTTTGTATTCTGCTGTCCATCTTACGCTCAGGGAGCTTTCCAAGGCCTGCGTCAGGACTTGCACCCCTTGGAGCTCCTGACGCAGCTGGGATCGAATATCCGCGTGCAGCAGCGACAGCAGGAAGAGGAGGCGCAAATCAAAGCATTTAATGTCATCAACAAACTGCTGGGCCTCGCATTTTTTCAGAAGACTGCAGAGCGCGGCTGCAAGATTCAGTTCCAGACTGAGCTTCTGTGCCACAGCACTGTTGAAAATTATGTTACAGAGGCATTTTAAAGCTTCTACTATAACAGGATATTCGGACACCCTTTCCAGGGAATCTTCCGTAGTGTCCAGCTTGGCTAGCCTCATAAGCACCTGCATGTTCTTCTTCGTGGTCACAGGTACTAAAACCTTCTTATCCCTGGAGAGAATCCGAAGGGCCTCCAGGCAGGCAACTTGACATGAAGTTTTTGTGTCTTTTTCAAGGATGTTTAGTATTTCCTCACATAGTTTCTATGCAAACCGAAACAAAAAATAGAGAGTTCTATCAAAATTCAAGGTGTCAATAGGATGCTACTCTTGCTAATCTTCAGTATAACGAATCCCCAGCTTACACTGAGAAATTAAGCTTTCTGTATTAGTTTTTCAAATGTAAACAATAAGATGTCAAAAGGTCATCAAAACACTTTTCTTTATGGGTATAATCCAAATACATCATCATTGGCAAAAGCAATAAGCTAAAATGGCAGTTAACATCCTCCTGTTTCCTGGTACAAAGTTTTTTCGGTACCAGAGCCGAACTAGAGAAAATTGAAAGGTTAAATGCATCAAAGGAACAGTGCTTTGGTTAAACATTGAAGGGTTTTTACAGCTGAAGATCCCCTCATAACTAACCTGACCCAATTTACCCACTGAAATTAAGAAAAAATCTGATTTTGTTAACAACAGAGTCTACACACACATCACACCTGGTACTTTGGTCTGTCATCTCAGTCAGATAAAAACCTGAACATTCACTTGAACGCAAAGAAACCAATCTCACCAAAATTCAGAGCATTTTTTCCCCTCCCCAAGTTGCATCTACCTGCTGCTATGCAAGTGTCACTGCAAAATGTCAGCACCACCATGGGAGACCTTCCAAGGAGCACTAAACTCCCACAGATTTGCCCCAGGAGGCGGAAACCTCTCTCTCCCTCCACACGTTTGAAGACTATCCTTGCAATTTAATTAAAGATTATAAACACCACCGCCTAATGGTGCCAGGTCCTGGTGAAGTGCAGCCACAGAAGAATATGGTTAGCTGTGCTGAAGAGAGATACTAAACAGAACACAAGCCCTTTATGATATTTAGCAGCCCGCTTCCAACTTAAAAATATGCTTGCAAGGTACTTGCTCTCTGCACCTTCCCGGGGTCTTGACTGTATGCAGGATCTCATGATGCAAGCAAGACAAGASAAGAGAAGTCAGGCAGGAGAGAACTACAAAAACAGCATCACACTTTTCATTTTCCCCAGGAGGAGCTTCATTTTGCCTCTCCATTGACACGGCMTAAGCAAGGGAGCAAGGTTGGCATCTATTTGCTTTGAAAGGAAAGAATTCTGACAGCGAGGTAGYTTCCCCATTCACATAACAGGATTTTCCTCCTTTCAGGGAATTGTTTGTTGACCCTAAATTGTGTGTATTTAATATTTCTGCTCCGAGTTCTATCTTCTGAAAATTCAGAGGGGAGTTGTGATTTTCATTAACTGAGCCACAGGAACAAGCACTTTCCACATAATTTTGAGCAGAATCAAGACAGTTTTCAGCTCATTTATTTTCTAAACCATTTACTTCTCTAAAACTCATATTCCCAGCATTCAAAATAATAGTCACAGAACAAYGCATATTAATTTGTCCATGCCTGTAGGATCAATAATGTTACATTGGTCTAAAACTTTATTGTGTGTTAAAACAAATACAAAGCCCATATATAGCCATTTTCTATTCTGGTCCTTTTATTCCTGAACGTAAGAACAAACACTCAACACGAAGCAGCAATCTGCTCCTTCAGAAAAAGCAATAGCCTGAGATGCAAGAGATGTGGAGCTTTTTCCATCGCTCAGCCACAGGCCTCTTGCCTGGCTCTGGCCAAAACAAACAAGCCAAAAATCAACAACAAAAATTCCCACCCTTTTTAACTTTCTTGTTAATTTTTCCTGCCTCCAGATGAGCTGAGGATGCTACTGAAAAACAAGTCAGTTCTGATCTTGCTCTTGGACCCTGTGGTGCCTGCCCGAGGGGTCCTTTTCCACCTGCTCTCTATATCTTTTAAGGTGATATTTATCAGACATCCCTGACCWATCCTTCTCTTCACTTAAACGTGCCTCTGGATTATATCCCAGAAGTATTCAAAACCAAGTAAACACTGCTTTACTGAATATAGCACGTCACTTAGATCCTGGGGAGTCAGCGGTGGAGAAGTTTCAACTAAAAGATGAACAACACCTGTTAAATRTTACAGGAGGATATTAAAAAAACTAATCTCTCATTCTCTGCACCTTTACTTTGGGATATTGAGCCTTGAGAATTTTTTATTTTTGCATCGTACGTACATGAAGAGGCAAGTTTTGTAGCTTTCACGCTTAAAGTAAGGCAAGAAATAAGACCTGCTGCCAAATTGACTGGGAAACACACATAGCCCCTGCTTTCTATCCTCCTCAGTATCAGGGCACATTAACAGAACTGCTGGAAAGGCCGACTGGCAACAGAAACAGAGCGCACAGCTCAGCACACACTCATTTCCCCATCACCTGCCCTTGATTCCTCACGATCAAGGCACAAAGGGCCCACTTCCAGGCATATTTCAAGGCACGTGCATACATCCATCCTGATAGAACACTGCTACAATCTGAATAGGTGTATTAAAAAAAAATCTTGCTACACTTAAAGAATTTTAATTAAATTCTCTCTGGGGAGTTCATGAAACAGGTATTTAAGTTTAACTCAATCTACTTCTGCAGATGTTCAGTGAGCAGAAACGTTAMTGGTGGCACCAGGAACAACACTCACATGGAAATGTCTTCATAAATACCCTGTTTTTCTTCAAGAGGTCATACAGGTCTGCTGTAGTTCACCTCATTTGTATTGCTGTCCTTTCCTCAAACTGAGTTTTACTTACACCTCTGCTTTGCTATAAACAAGAAAATTCATAGCAAGTTCTACTCAATGTCACCTAGGTGAAGGAAATGTTAAGTAAGCAATGATAAATTGAATCTGAATTTTTACACCAACTCCACATTTTTGTGGCTCCCCAAGTTATTCAGAAGCTTCCTGCAACACACAGGCATCTACCTCCCGGAAGGCAAAGYGACACATTTTACTCTTCATATGTATTTTCACTGACCACGCAAAACAGCCTTGCAGAAAACCTGGAGACTATGTTTTTGTCATCAGAGATAAGAAGAGATTTCAGAATCAAAGGGGTGTCATTTGGAATTGCTGAGTGAGATGTTGGCTAACCATTTCTGATTGCAGGAGCAGTACTAAGAGAATTGTTCTATGCTAACGTCAGGTTTCAGAGTTAGGCAGCCAAAATACTAAGGCAGTAAATCCAAGTCTACTTCAAATACTAGCTCAAAGTTTAGCTTTCTCTGCAAGTCATGATGACGTTTGTGTGTACTGCATGTTCACAGAGTTTACATTTTCATTTTCTGGTTATGCAACTAATAGGTCACAGGGTACCAAAAAAATGAAACCAAGTAGAAGTCATATGGCTTCACAATCTAGACATTCTGAGAATGTCTTTCACCTTTCTCACGGGCACTTCCCAGTTACTACAGACCATTTAAAGTCAAACTTGCATCGCAATCTGAACATGGTTTTAACTACTGCCACAATCATGATTTAAGTTTCACCATGACATAAAGAACCTGCAACTATTTGAGTGTGCTCAGCTTCCATRTCCCTAAGCTCACCATCGTGCACCACAGTTGACTTTTCCATCGTGGTTGCAGAACAACAAGCAAAGGTCTCCAAAGTCAGCTAGTTTCCCTTGGAAAGACACACTCACCTAGAGGGTCTCACCGAGGAATGCTCTAGTGCTTCGAGTACTTGACCATGAACACGCGAAGGAACCTGACTCCTTGGGAGCATCAAGGAGCAAGAGCAGCTTTAACTCTTGTGTTTGCTTACTGGGAGTTAGGCTTTCCTTCCACACTTCTCCTCTATGCCTAGCACAGTTGGACAGCTCTTGTGTTATCCTCTTAAGTTTGCAGCAGATGGGGAAGAGTTGGGAAGAACACTGAGGCAGAGGGAATGAGCTCAGCTCAGAGAGGGACAGAACAGGGGAACCAGGAACAGCACTAGCCTAGTTTTATTGAGATTCTGAGCTTGAAACCATCTTGCTCCATCAAAAAGCTTTATCGCTTCCATCTTTGCAAAGTTCAAGGTGGGTACAGTCCTCAGCCGTAAGGAATCTTCTAATTAAATTCATGATACCCTGAGAAACAGAGTCCCACAATACATGTGCTATGAATTACCATCAGCTATTTGAACACCTTCAACAAAACCTGCAACAGCAGGGAAGAGACTCTTCTGACAACTGTTAGCCTTGAATTTCAGCTTATGTTCAAATTGAAGCTGAGAAATAACTCAAGAAACAAACAAACTTTAGAGATTTGTCTCAAAGAACTGACTCTCGACTAATCTGGAGACAAGTTACAAAAAAAAAGCTGTCAAAAAGTGATTATAATCACTTTTTGTAATATGCAGAGGGTGTAGAAATCAAACTACTACTTGAGGTGAAACAGACAAAAGGATAAGTTCAAGAGGAAGCAGGTAGATCAAGAAGACCTATCATTTCAGGTAAGAATAAGTGTAACAACCCTGCATTTGGCTACTTTTTTTCCTGTTCTTTAAGCTCAGTATTGTCTTCACCCAACKGAAAAAGCCACCCCTCCTGGCTTCCCCATGCAGATTTGCTCTCCCTGCTACCATCACGTAGGCAAACAGTGCTGGTGCTGTTGTTCTTTCCAGTTTTGGAAGGTCGCTGCCAATGGGGACATCATTGCTGACAGCAGCTTCCAGGCCACAGACMATGCTGTGATTTTTCTTGCCTTCATAAGTTCAGGAGCTGCATAAGTGTCCTGCTACTTTATAGGAACTGAGGCTTGCCAAGGTAAGTTTTGGTTTTCCCTTATCTAATTTACTTATTTTTAAAATGAGCATGAAGTTTAACAAACTTTTGCCCATATGGCAAATTTGGGATTTTGGAAGCTTTTGTTTTTTTTATATTGCGAGGCTTGTGCCTTCAATACCACATCCAGGTGAGTGTCCTAAGCCTAACTCCCCTCTCTGTGGTGACCTCCCCAGTCACGTTACCAGATACTCATTTTCCGAAGCTGACACAAATCCCATCATAGACCTAAAGAAACAAATGCTCCTGTACAACATGCTACATTCCCAGGAAATCTTCCAGGTTTTCAGATTCAGTCTTTTCCAACAAAACCCTGTCCTTGGGTTGTAGGAGCTCCTTGGTCAGCTCATACAAACATCTGAGAYTTCTGAAGGCTGGCTGACCTCCTCTGAAGCAACCCCACTAACTTAATTTCARCCCCTTATTGAGGACAAAATTATTTCTGGTTGGCATTCCTATACTGTCTATACACATGAACCAAAAATAAGCTTCCAGAATGACTGTTTTTATTAGCTAGCAACCAGTTGAGAAGGGATGGCACCAGCTAGATCTGATTTGGTTTGAGTAACGTTTGCAGCACCCTATAGACTGTAGCCCCATTTCTACCCCTGGCATCCACYGTAAGGTCAAGCACCTGCACAGCTAGGCAAGTCACAGCCGGGCCAAGCTCCCAGGAACGCGCTGCAGGACAGCAACAAAGCACAAGCTTGGCAGCCTACGGATTTCCTCATCGAGCCTCATCGCTCGGCCTTCTTTTTCTTCTACAGGAGATAACCTACCTCACAGCCTAATCAATCATACTTGATAGCCCTGTCACGCCAGACAAGTTTTGCTGATTTATCCAACTTTAACAAACAAGCCATAATTTTGACCTTAGTATTTTTGCTATTTTTTTAGCATGTCACTGTTGTATTCAGGGTGTCTTTTCCTACAAGRATCAAGTGCAGCATTAAGCTCAGCTGTGCCTACATTATAATACAGTTACAGGACAGACACAACCTTGCAGTAGCTATAAGGCCATGGCTGAAGCTGTGTGGTGAGAGAGGAAGAAAAAGGCAAACATTTATTAACTTTAAGTTAGCCTTTAGGTTAACGCTGTTGCTATCTATGTATTTTCTTCTATGTACTTCTTCATGGAGGAGGAGGGCAGATTCAAGGAAAAAGAGATTACATGTACGCAAGGGACATGAGATTACATTTTATGCCACAATAATAATAATAAAAGGGCCAGTCCAAACTGTAAAGGTAAGCCTGGATGATTCTTTAAGCTGTTAAAACTTGGCTCAAGTGCACAGCTTCCTGCCACAAACAGCACTGTCCGAGGCACTTCAGACGTGCAGCTCACGTCCTGCTGATCTCACCTGCCTCTGGAGCCCCTTTTCTGCAGTTCTGTTTCCCTCAGGGCTTCAGAGCTTTCCTCAGTAGTTTCCCCTTCATCTTAACCCCTAACATTGTCCGTATGTCTAGCACACACAGGAACTGTAACTGCTACATAATGACATGCTGGAAGGGGGGCGGGATGGAAACACATCAAAGTTGCTTTCTATCTCAGACCCAGAAAAAAAGAATACCTTATATAAGACTTTTTTTTTGGAAAAAAGTAACTGTTTTCTCCCCATGAAAAAAAGTCTGTATCCATCCAAATTCCTTGTGTCTTTTTTGTTACTATTTTTGCTTGAGACTGGGTTTTGTTTTCTTTATGCTTGGAGGATTATTTTCCCATTTTTGGGGAAAAGGAATATGGACGTTCTCAGGTCTTTTGCACTTGAAGAAGCACAAACAACAAAAACCCAGACTCTTGTCACAAACTCTTGTGAGTACCATTTAAGCAGTGTCTATCTGCATCATTTCACAATAGCAGCTAAGTTATGAGACAAACTTTCCTATGTTACATTTCTAAACAGAAAAGAAATTAAACTCTCTTGTTTTACTAGTAGCTTGTTTTACTTACCTTTCTTTTCTCTTCATCTGCTGGATCAAATCTGAAAACAGCCTTATTCTGTAAAGAAAAAAAAAAGTTTACATTTATTGTGCATGAACTTCACCTATTAAACAGGAGACAAGTGTGAAATTATTATAAGCCTTRGCAGTCTGGTTAGAACACCAGCTAATAAAGTGATACCCTGTAAACTCAGGTTCTTCTCCAACAGGAATAATTTCAGCAAGCAACTCCAATTAACTGTCTCACAATCACCTGAGCTGTCATTTGAGCTGGTTACTGAGACCAGCTCTTTTTTTTTCAGGATCTTGAAGTATGTTCCTAATGAAATACTGCTCTAACGACAAAGCTCATTTTCCAAATCAAAAGTACTGTCAGTAGAGAATTTAATATTTTCAAGTTAAGTGATTCTGCATCATAAACAACTTCTGAGAAAAAAATCTAAATTTCTATTACTTTTAACAAAGTCTCTCTACGCAGACAGCAATAGAAAAACAAACGATACGAAACCTTCAGCCTTTGATTCCTGTGAGTGGCAAACAGCACTCAAAGGCTGGAACAGTTACCTGCCATCTGCGAGCCACTGCTGGCCGAGACCTTGACAGAAGACACCACAACCTCTCCAGTAACCTGGAGGCGCAGTGGCACCGAGCCACCACGTCACTTTCTGCTTCTTGTCTCCTGCTGCCCCTAAGGAGATGGAGGCAGCTGAGAGGCCGACTTCTTGGCAAAGCAGCCGGCAGGGAAGTGTCCTATTGATYCGTACTGACAGGTTTCCATCGTAGCTTGGGAGGAGCCTCCAGCTACACTCGACTCCAGACCCAGCGCGAAAACTGAACGTGCCAGAGCAGAGCAGCTCTCGCTCCTCCCTCGATGGGCCCCCCAAGCCTAGCGAAGTCCTGAGGGGGACGTGTGGGGCAGCGTGGGGCCCAGCACGGCGCCGCTCAGGAGACACGTTCTGCACGCCCGAGCACAGGGCCAAGCCGAAGGACGGGTCATTTCCGAGGGCAGACGCGGGCAGGTCCCTCGACCACAACCCTCCGCGCTGGAGACGTCAGCGAGCTGAAGGCGTTAGGGGCCTCTAATGGATTCCAGGCCTGATGGCACCTCAGGGAAAGTGCCGGGCAGCTGCTCCAACCTCTGCTTTGGGATTTCACACACACAAAGACAACCTACGGGGATCGATGCTCAAGCTTCTAACACTTCAAATTTATTGTACATAAGGTAACTAACCGAAAGCCACCTCTCAAAGGTGGAAGAACAACTTTACACCAACCCATATCCACACGACTTCCCCCTTCCCAGGGGGAAGGATCTTTAATTGACAATCCCCAAGTTTATTCCTTCAACAGATGCCTGCATTTTAACAAAGCCTTCAGGAGACAGGACTAGCCACGGCCTCATGGGCCGTGATTAGACAGGGCCTCACGGGCCTGCTATGAGGTGTCTACACAAGGCACGGCCTCCTGCTCCGATGGGACAAGGGGTCTTCAGGGGCAGACAACACTGCTCTAGTGCAGCCTAGGCAGCGACAAGTCCGCATCTGAAAAAAATAAACAGAAATCCACCCAAGGTCTGGCTTCACCTTAATTTCTACCTCCCAATGTCACCAGGAAACACGGAAACATTCCCAAGCTCTTGGCTACACCTGCCATACCACAGTGACCCTTGATCCTGGGCCCCATATACGAGGTGCCAGCACTGAGAGCTCGCTCACACCGGGGGCAGGTTAAAGTACTTCGGCGGCGAGGGGAGCTACGCGGCAGCTCCAGGAACCCACTGTGCCACGAGACAGAGGCAGAACAGGGGCAGGAAGGAGCAGCCAGGAGAGCCTGAATCCTAACTGCTGACACTTCCAATTCTCTACGGAGGTTAAAAACAACACTAAAATAGAGAGCGAAACAAAGAGACGCTGCCCGCCGGGCCCTGCGGGGCGCAGAGCGCGGGGGCTGCGGGGCCSCGGCCGGGGCGGAGGCTCCTGCGGAGCCGGGTCTCCCTCGCGGACACACGGGGCTCGAGGACGGGCGCGTCGCGCGGGGCCGCCGCGGAGAGCGGCGAGAGCGCGGGGCGACCCGGCACCCGGCGGCGACCGTTGGGGCGCGGCGCGGCGCGATAACGGCCAGCGCGCGCCGCGGGGGGCGGTGCGAGGCCGCCGACCCGTTACCTCCTCGTTGTACCGGCCCAGGAGCTGCTCGACGGCCTCGGCGCCGCCCCCGCCGCCCGCCACGGCCTCCAGCACGGCGCCCAGCTCCATGGCCCCGGCCCGGCCCGGCCCGGCCTCCCCGCTCCGCTCCGCTCCGCTCCGCTCCGCCGGCAGCGGCCACCGCCCAGGCGCCGCCTGCCCGCCCCCCGTGACGCAACGCTCCCCTTGGCAACCGCCCGCCCCGCCCGGCCTCGCTACTGGCTGGAAGGGGTGGGAGCTCGCGCCTCTATTGGCTGCCCTCCGCCCGCACGTGACGGAGGCATCGCCCGCCCAGACAGGCTGTGGTTGCGCCGGCAGGACTACGCCTCCCAGCATGCCAAGCGACGCGGAGCAGCCGCGCGTGGCGGCGCTGGTGCCGCTTGGCCTCATGGGTGCTGTAGTCTCAGCAGGCGCCAGCCCCTCCCTCCCCACCCCCTGGCGAGAGCGGGGGCGGGAGCAGGACTCAGGGTTGTGGGTTCGAGCCCCGAGCCCGGCCCGCCCCACCGGGCCCTCKTCCCCGCCTCGATGCTTTTTGTGGTTTAGACCCATTTTTGAGATCTCGGCCGGGGGCGAAGCCAGTGTCCCGCGTGTAGTGTTGGGAGGGCTTCCTCTCGGCATGTGGCAACTAAACAAACCCCAAAGACAACAGAGGGGCCAGGGTCCCCAGGCAGGAAACACGCCTGTAGCCGCAGGTGCTTGGGTGCAGGGCTCAGCGTGCACCTCACGAGGGACGGGCGAAGGGGCAGGAAGATCCCSCCGCCCGCAGGCAGCGCCGCGCTGGCGGGTCTGCGTGCGCTGTGTGGCACCAGCGCGGGGCAGCTTGCGGCCTCGGGGTGTGACGGGCCGCGCGGGACCGCCCTGAGCTGCACAACCGGGTCGGGTCCCTGTGGGCGACGATGCACCTTTTGAAAGAAACCCAGGAAAATAAAACTCCTGCTGTTTGTTTGATTTACAACCTTGTAATAAAGTGTTTGCTGGCTTAGATTTACCTCACTATGGAGCACACCACAACACCTGTTTTACTTGTGCTTTATCAATTACATTTTTATTTTTCAAGACTGGAACACCTCAGTGGCCCTTTAACAGCGCATTGTAATTCAGCACCAGTGCATTTTAGCTTCCACTTTGGGCAGCATATGAAGGATTAGGATTTCAATGGAAGAGGGGGGCAGAATAAATTGCATCCTCTACCAAAGAGCTGCCAGACCTTTTCAGCTGGCGCCCTCCCCGTGTTAGTCAGCTTTATGGGAGCCTTCCAAAGCGATGTCTGCGCCTGGATTTCATGGGCTGCGGGGTCACTCGCAGCAGAATTGTGGGGCTGGGGAGGTCAGAGGCCGTTCCTGTCAAAGGGTGGTGACCTTAGCAGCAAGAGGTAGCCGGACAAAACCAGCGTTCGCGCTGGTGAATGGAGTTCTCACTGCTCTCCCCCCGCTGAGCCTTTTTTCTACCTGGTAATGAAAAATCCTGAAGAATTGTAATGGATTTTTATATCCATACATAACATATATATCAGCATGTGTGTATACATTTATGTTATGCATATAAGCCCATGTGTATAMATATATATATGTACAGGTCTCTTGTTGCATGTTAAAGGGCATGASAGAAATCACATTCAATAAAATGTTTATTGGTAGTGGGAAGAATGAGAAAGAAGGAAAAAGGAAGAGGAAAGAAAGAGGAAGAAATAAAGAAAAAAAAGATCTATTATTTTAGGATGTGGTATGAAAACTTCTTCATAAAGATTTGCACAGTCACATATTTGTGATATATATCCCTACACATATGACTAGCAAGTAACAACAGCTTTGGTCACCAGGTCAGGAGAGAGGCTTAATTCACATCCCCTGGGCTCTGSCAATTCCCCCTCTGATGGTTTAAGAGCCCCTGCCCTAACCAGCCCCGCTGCTCGGAGGCTGTCGCCCTTGTGTGCAGTGCAGCAGAACAGGCCCCTCGCGAGCAGCTGCAGGTCCCAGCCCAGCGAAGCCCTGTGRCCTGCAGCCCGCGGCGCTTTATAGCGATCCTGGGGGTTCCGACCTGCAGCGGCTGGTGGGGACCAGGGACTGGTTTCTGCTGCCCCGCTTCGGGTACGGATGGTGATGGTGACCTCTGCAGAGCCGTGTTCAGGAAGCTATACATTGCATGAACATCCCGTTTAAACTTCAAAGCCGTGATCAGGAAGCAGTTCAAAGRTAGATGGAAGCGCATGTTCAGTCTCCTGTGGCATCATGAGTTTATAAATAAACTTTAAAAAGAAAGACCACGGGGGCTCCTCTGCAAACGGCTTCTGAAGTTCAAGCCCTTCTGACTGATGATGACGTTAACAGTCCTCCAGGTCTTTCCTGGGAGTGCAGAGCCTGCTGGTGCTGTGGGTGATAATTGGCCGTGCCACCGCTTTGCACACACTGACTAGCTGCAGTTCTCTGTCTCCTGAGCAGCCGCCCTGGGCTCTGCAATCCTGTMGGAATGTGCTTGGGAATTCTCTTAGAGGATGGGAGATTCATCTCCACTCTGGTTCTTCGAAGCCCCAGCTCTGAGTTCCATGCGAGTTCTCCCTGCAAACATCTTGCTGAGGAGTCTGGTCCTGGAGAGGCCGTGTTAGGGCATAGTGAGCAGTGCATCTCCTGGACCTTCTCAATCTTTAACCATCTGTTAATCAATTTTCCAGCAACAGTAAATGAGCAGAAGGGGTCACGAGTGGGCTCTTGGTGCTGCAGGGTAGAGATTTGGTATTCCTGAGGGAAAAGAGAGTGCATTTTTCTACCATAGTGACTCTGCCTTTCCCCTGCGCGTTTGATCCRTGATGAGGCAGCTCTTCCTATGCCTGCTCATATTTAGTAGGTCAGCAAGAACACTTTAAGTATCTTCAATAACRAAATGCAAAGCAGGACCTTGATGTCAAACACACGACACGTCTGGCTGCTAAAGGCTGCCTGCCAGCTGCCTGCCTTCCAGCCGGCTTACATTCCGCCACGTGGGCTGTTGTGCCTGCAGGTAGCTCGAGTGGGAATTGCATAATTGGGATAAACTGAGCTTGATCCCCGCTTACTASGAGTGTCGAGGGAACGTGTGTTGGGTAACGACGCGAGCTGACTTGGATGGCATTGCAGAGGGGCTGGTACAGTCGGCCAGGACACGGGACCGTCACCCTGCACCTGAGCATGGAGACGGGCTCTGGCTGCGGTTCTGAAACCRCGGCTGGCGCCTTGGCTGAATGTTTAAGGGCCCCCAAATCCTGCTGACTTACACAGCAGTTAAATACACCAGGCCTGAGAATCCTGCCACTTTATTGACTCACCTACAGGAAAACCACCTTTCTGTTTCCAGCATTGTAAGAAACGCTTTTGTTACAAGGTACTTCAAGAAGAGAGCACATCTTACCTGCCTCAGGGAATACAATGGTGTGGATAAGCAGYGGTACCTGGATTATAACAGAATCCCAGAACGGCTGAGGTTGGAAGGGGCCTCAAGAGATCATCTAGTCCAGCCCCCTGCTCCAACAGGGACACCCAGAGCCGGGGCACAGGGCGGCATCCAGGCGGGTTTGGAAGATCTCCAGAGAAGGAGACTCCACAGCCTCCCTGGGCAGCCTGTGCCAGGACTCTGTCACCCTCACAGGGAAGGAGTTCTTCCTCACATGCGGATGGAACTTCCCATGGAGAACCCACCCATAGTTACCAGGTCAGGAGCAACAGCCTGGAGCAGCTTGCGGCTGCAGGCCCAGGAGCAGCTCATTTGCCGGGCTGCATAAGTTCTCAAGTTCCTCGCTAGATAAAGACATAACATTGGCACCTTCTGAGCTTTTGAAGAGTTATCAGCTTGCAGAAGCCACTGGAATTAAGTGGATTTGAATGGTATAAATTTAATTTCATGAAGTTTGAGTGTGAAAAGCCCTCACATGCCTTGCACAACTGTACAAATAACACTTAGGTCCATTTTCAGCATAGACACTGTTATCATCACAATTGGCGCTATCAAAGATTTTGTTAACAAAACAATTACTAAAATGCCTGATGTTGTATTTCCATTTATTTATTTCTTACCCATAGGGTAATAGGTCCACCATAATTACTTGGTGCATTTTATAATACAGAAGAAAAAGCTATGTTAATAAAATCTAACAAAAACTCACAAATAGCTACAAATCTGACAGAAAATGTCTACGAAAATTCTCCCCAAAATACAATACATTTTTTTCCACACATACACAGTACAGAATAAGTTCAAAGGCACAGCTTTGAATTTTGCTTTTGTAGAAGTGTGTAGAATTATCACCACGTGAAGCAATTGAGTGAAGAGTTTCATACCTGTCAATAGGTCGTGAAATGAATAATCATGTTTGCATTGTCATTTCTTACATAATTGCTTCATATTTAACATATGTGGCTCTGAATACAGAATCTTCCCAGTCCTCAAATCCTTTCTTAACTTTGTCATTACTGACCAGAGAAGTGAAATTTTTCCAGATTGTGCAAACTTAACACAAATACATATATAATAAGAACAACAGTCAAATTAAGGCAGTGTATAATTCAATGCTACATGTCTTCTTCTTTTTTTTCTTTTTTTTTTCTTTTTTTTTTCTCTTTTGTAAAGATCAGGTTTATTGGATCAACAGAAAGGTGCATCGATATTCAAAGGCAAGGTGTAAACTGAAATCTATAATAACACATATCTTTTAAGGAGCCAAAAAAGAGAAACAGATACAAACAACTGATGACTTGGCAGAATGGTTTTTAATGCATGAGCACTTTAAAGGCATAGATGCCAGAGCTTTGCTGAGAGTGAGCTTTCTGTCTTTAACTCACATTATAAATAAATTCCTTTCCAGTATTTCCCTACAAGACCCATTAACATTTGTCAATTAGGGAAGGGGGAGAAATGGCTCACTGGAGTTGACATCACACACGGTTGGCCCACATGCCAGATTAAAGAAGGCACAGATTGGCCTAAATAATGGTCTAGAATAGCACAAAACTCTTGCTCGGTTACAGGAACATGTCACACTGGTCTGCAGTACACCCACGTTCTGAACTACGTTTATTTGCCCAGGATCTTTTCTGTCTTCACCTCCACTGAAGAACGTCCACAAAACGTCCCACGTAATATAAAGTTTTAATAACTCTTTAAAGTATAAGGGCTCAGCTGATGCCAGTCACGTTCATTTCGCCCAACCTGTGGTGGCTTCCCCATTGATGTAGGCAAAGCCAGGAAAGTGTTGCATGTGCTCGTATTCGGAATTGCGGCGCGTAGCCAGCGGTGTGTACATGTCACTAGAATTTCCGTATCTCGTGGAGTGCATGGACGGGCTCGTGTAGCAGGAATTTGCAGACGGGACTTCTGGCCAGCGAGGAGTCACTGGGGTGGGATGCAGCCTTGGGGTACTGCTCATCAAACATGGCTCCATCCGTGAGGTCGGGCTGTTGAAAGGATACTACAATGAAAAATTAAAAGACAGAAAAATAAATTAAAGAAATATCTACCCCTTGCTTAGTGGTAAAGTATCGCAACTGCCTGATTGACCACAGCTATGAACTAGCAACCCCCCAGCTAGGCAGTACATTGAAGGGGAACATCAACGCCTGCAGCCAGTTCCAAGTGTCAGGGAAAGTCCTGCAAAGCAGCCTTGGCATTTAAATACCAGCCGAGTTTATCAAGAAGGGCCAGCTGCTGGCAGGTAGTTCTGGGAGCAGGGAAATGACTTTCTCCAGTCTTTTCTCCCCCCAGCTTTTACTAGGCAACTTGCTATGCAGTAAACAGCAAAGCATCAAGCGTCCCAGCTCTACCGGGCTCACTCTACTGTGTTTTCAGGGAGAAGGTGAAAGATCTTTACTACTTACAGGCTGCCTCCCTTCTAAATGTTCACAAACCGTCCTGCCAGTCTCTGCAGAAAACCACTAGGGACTGGCTTCAAAGCGGGCAGCTAATTACAGAACTTGCAGGAAAAAARAGCAGAAGAATCTCCCTATTCCCCAGCTGTCCGCAGTGACAGTTGGGAACTAGAAACCAGAGTAGTTTGACAAATGCCTCCTGCTGAGAGGAAGATGTGCTGGGGATAGGCAGAAAACCAGGGAACAGCATCTGCCCCGCGGAGCCGCAGGCTGCCCGGCGACGGGAAGCGAAGGGAGCCCTGGGCGCTGCTCTGCCCGCCTGACGTGAAGCGCGTTGCCCGTGTGGGCTGGGCCTAAGGAATGGCTGGCCTGGACTTGCCCTCAGACTATCCATCCGCACGGGAGCGCCGCACAGGATCCCCGCTGCCCTTGGCCAGCTCCGTATCTTCAGCTCTCTTGTTTTTCACAGCTTCCTGGCATGATGGGCTCTGGCCAGTTCATCTGGKCATTGTGAGCACTGCAGGACTGGGCCAAACGGCTCCACAGACACAGGCTTGCGCTTTTTATATCAAAAGTGTCATCATTTTAAACTCCATTCTCTCAAGCTGCTTGACAAGGTGATATTTGTTTGTGTCTCCCAGAGGAGGGGCACCACTGCTTCTGGATCTGACCCTTCCCCTCCTCGCAGGTGTTGCATGGGGGAGACGCCTTCCCTCTTCGTTGGAGGGCCTGGGAAGAGGCGCTGCYGGAGCTGGTCAGAGGAGGGAACTGCGAGTGATTCCCAACGGGTCTCATTACATGACTCCGCTGCTGGTGGGGCCGGGCTAAATCAGTTGCATAAATGGCCCCGCAAGGCGATTACAGCCGTGTCCCATGAGGAGTTTCCGCTGGCGGCCCGCACGGCCCAGCCAGGAAGCGGCCCTGCCTTGGCAAACCTGGCGCTGCTCCCAGCCTCAGGCAGCGCAAAGGCCCCACGCGGGCTGCTCCGAACRAGGGCACAGAGATGGAGAAGACTCYTTCCAAACAACTYAACTGGCACTTCATAAAACATTGCAGTCCACGGCTCAGCACACCCCGCCACGGGCTGGGTGCCAGGCCACTAGATGAGAGGGAGGAGAAGTAACTTGCACAGGGCGTGATTCAACATGAGCTTCTCATGTCCTCGGAGCCTGCGGATTTACCTGTGCAAGCAGCTGCTGAGACAGGCCCGTAAAGGGCAGCACCACACGAGAACAGCAACACCTCAACTGGTACTTCTAAGGCAGAAGAAGCCTTCTTCAGAGCTTCCGAGCAAGCTGTATCGGCACCACTGGCAACATTTCTATACAAGATCATCCACGTTTTCCATCTTCTCCTCAGAGAAAGGCTTTTCCCATAGGAAAGTCCAGCAGAACTGAGGCACTGACCACATGAAGCCTTGTGCCGACGACAAGAGCCACCATGCCCCTCAGCTAAGCAAGCCGTGCTTTGAAGTTTTAGATGTGCTGATGGCAATTTAAGGCCATGGTTCTCTCATTTAAATAGCTAAGGACAGGGCGCTCTGTCAAGAGACAACCAACCTGCAAGTTTTTTAGATAAATATATGGGGCTTCAGGAAAAGTTTACCAATTTTCAGTTTTTTTTTTTTTAGTTTGGGAGACTAGATCACAGATTTAAAACACAGCTTTTCTAGACTGCATAGGCAATACATTAAAGTAACTGCTTTTCATGCTAGTACCTGCTAATTGCCTTCACCTATCATCTTGCTGAACAAAGCCCCTCCCACAATAAACAGAGAATTAGAATAGAAAATAAGTTCCCACAAGATTCTCTATAGCATCAGAGTCAAATTCTTTTCCCTGATTAGTTCTCAATATGTTAGACATCTAAGAAAAATGAGTCATCTGTGCTCTGTCTACAGCCACCAGAGGGATTCATCAAACCAGGAGATAAATTTTTTGGACAGAACATGAGCAGTCCTAAGAAGAYGGCTCTTCTCTTCATCCTGCTACATGACATAAACCACTGGTTAGGTTCCCATAAGTTGTTGGCCTTGGATGATCTCAGGTGTTTCACAAATGACTCTTCCACTGCGTACAAAGTGCTTTGAAATGGTAGGACCTGGGTGGACCACTGTGAGAAAGAAAATAGAAACACAACCCSTTCTTTTCTCTGTGTCACGCATGGGCCTGCAAGATGTGGGCTAAGGTGGGCAAGCACTGCTTTGACTGCAGTCAGGTTTTACTTTGTATCGGCTACCATGGTCTTCATCTTTACTGCTCATTGATTTATACCTGAATTTTGACTGTTCTGTTCAAGAACCTACTTCTGTCTAGGTCAGCCGAGGCTTTTGCTGCAATATATCAGCAATTATCTGTTGTCTCCCTGCCCACTAACTGATCTGCTGTTAACAACAGAGGAGTCTTTTGCCATCCTGACTTGGTGTGGTTTCTCTTTGAGGTCGTGAAACTGAGGTTGGGACTTAGCATGGGAGAATTGCTTGCTTTCAAACTCCTTACAAATGGCAAGAGAGAGCTCCAGCGTSAGCCATTCTTGTTGGCCACTGATAATGTGCAGACTGGGAAACTTTCAACTACGAGCTAGAGACACAAAATTAAGTCTGGGAATATTGTGCAGAGTCTCTAGGTTGCAYCTGGGGAAGCCACGTAACGTGTGTCAGGTCCCTTGCCCATTTGGGGATTAAGACTTTGYAGACTAAACGTGGAGGAGCACTGAAAAGGAAAGCAAGTCCTCCTGCTTGCAGGCAAGCGCCGCGCTAAGGAAGCCCCCATCGCTGGGCAGGCCCCACATCAGGGCTTGTGTGGGGCAGGACGCAGCACGCTGCGCTTCCTTCCCACCCGGCGGCCCCGGCACAGCTGTGTGTAGGAATGTTGCACGAATGTAAAAAGAATGATTGCTTCAAAATTATATGGACTCTGAATATCTAGTATTTTACAATAAATTCTGTTATGAGTGAGTCCACCATGGAAAGTTTTGTAGCGCTAGGTCAGCTACTCGCAAGCGAGTCAGTGACTTCTTTCTCCCTCCAGTGAAGAGCCTATTGAAAGACAATATTTTTAAAGTACCCACTGGCCCCTGCCGCACTATTAACTGAGCCAGTGAAGCATCTATTGAGCCTTGTTGGAGTGGCCAAAGCGGAGCCATCTGGGCGGATGCCTGCCCGTGCTGCCTGCATCACCTTTCACACCCCACATCCGGGTTAATGAAGAGTGCTTCAGCGTGCTCAGCTCCAAACACTGGGGCCTAGGGAGCTTGGCCAGATATAAAAGGGACGTTTGTTGGAGGGCTCTTGACAGGAAATTACCCTGTGCTGGGTTAACTCACGCTTGTTGCTACTGCTGCTGTTCAGTCGAGACAAGAAGCTCTTTAAGTCTGGGAGGCTTTCAGCAGATTATTGGTAAGGCCTTGCCGAAAAATGTAAAATTAATTCCATTTCTTTTAGTATTATTTTAGAAAATACTGTGTCAAATGTGTCCTCCCACTAAGTGAAGCCTGAGCTCCTGCACTGTGAGGATGGAGAACAACCTCTTTATTCTCATCCTCAGCTTGCTGACTGATTATGTATGGAGGTGAAAGGTGTCTCTGTGCAAGCAGCAAAATATTTTGCTTTGACTGTGGCTCTGCCTCTACGTCGTGTCAGCTCACAGCCCTGCAGAATGCTGCAAGTTAGCACTGTTCATTAGACACTACTTTAGGATTGAGTATTTCCAGACAACTCTCAGCAGCAATTACAGCTATTGTGAAGAACAGGCTCTACATGACCATTATAAAAATATACCTAACATCACAAAAATGCTATAGTCAGAATTATTGATTGATGGCTCCTTTCTAACCCAGAATCTGACCCTTTTCTCCATGAAATAAAGCTTTTTGAGTCTTAGTCTGTCAAATAGGTTGAGTGAAATTTTCAAGTCAGACTGAGTGATTTTGGTGTTTTGGGGAGYGGCATCTAGAGCCTTCTGAAAATGCTATTTGTAATGACTTCTTAAAAAGCCAAGACATCTGTTTCCTGTTCCATTCAATACCCAATTACCGCAACTGCATTCTAACAATCTCAAGTCAGTTATAAAGCCATACGGTTAGGAACAATAATTCTTCTTTCATAGGCAAGATACGGACAGTATTTTTTTCTTACTGTTCTTACTGTCTTTTAGGTAACAGTAACTTAAAAATAAGGTAAAAAAAACAAAGGCAGTGAAAAACAGCATTTTTACTAGCTTTTTTGGGTTACTGGTAAGGATGATATATGGAATTGGGAATATGATTCTTACTGCACTGGGATAGTATCACTGTCCCTATCACTATCCCTGGCACCCAGCAAGGGTCAAACTTGTGGACAGACGCTCTGACCAAAAGCCCAGTGTAGATGGTGGAAATGGGTCAGACGTTTTGCAAGGGTTACTTTTGAAGCAGTATCTCCCTGCTAACTTGGTGTAGGTCAGCAAGAAAGCTCAGAGGCTGCTGGAAGGACTTGTGGCCTATTGGTCTGGTTTAGTTAGAGCTACACAGGCAGACAACTGGGAAAACATAAAGCTCAGCTCAGAATTGTTTATGTACGCACACTGCACCGTTCCCTGCTAAATGATGACAGAATTAGGGCTGCATGATTGAGTGCAGCTCTGCACTACTGCCTAGAGAGCCAGGCAGGCACCGATCAAGCAGTGGATCATTCTGCTTTGTTTGTGTGCCACGTTCTCGGCCAGCAGTCAAGGAAGGGGCTACCAGAGCTACCAGACCTGGAGTTACAAGGAAGGGTAGGAGCTGAGAATTGCTGACAGATGCCAGTCGTTGAAAACAGTACTCAGGTTAAGAATAAGGTTCCTGTAGAGAAGCTGCCTCTGCCACCAAAAAGACTCCTCTAGCCTCCAGTGGGAATTTGTCAGCCTGCACTGTCCGAAGGAGCCAGTTCTAGGCTCAAGTTTGGCTGCTAGCTGCAGAAATCACTTCCTCAGTATATTCACCTCCCCATAAAGCCTTTTACAAGCCGCTACCTCCACTCCTTTGCCCTCCTATCCACTCCAGAGTCCCAGATCTTTCTGAAACTCTGAGCTGCTTATCACAATCTCCATACAGCCTAATGTTTTGGGGCACATACCACATTCCTCTGTGAGCCAAGGAAGTGCAAAGACTGTCTTGAAGCTGGGAGTTTACAATATGCCCAGAGGCTTTCCCCTTTTTTTTTCTTTTTTTTTTTTTTTTATATATGGGATGGAGCATGAGTGGACCTGTAACACCAAGGGATTCCAACTGCCCAGCAACCTCTCACCGTACAGCCTCACTGCTGCTCAGGTGACACTCGCTTGGTGGGGAACCCGTGTCCACTCTGATCAAGAGCAAAACTTGTACAGGAATTCAAGGGGACTCCAGCTCCAGCACGGCTCTCCAGTGACAAAACCAGAGCAGACCTCCTAAAACTAACACAGTCCAACCACTTTAGGACTGTGTGTGAAGCTGGGACCTATGTGCRATATGTTGGCAAATACAATTTAAAGGATCAAATATTTCCTTCCCATCCTCTGCAGTTCAGTTCTCCTCCTTCCAAGCAAATAAAAGTTACTCTATCCATCCCCATTGTGCCAATTCCTCTCTTTCTGTTCATGCTCTACAAATCATGTTTGTGAAATGACCCTCTTAAAGCTCCTCTAAAACAGAAAAATCAAACACATTTCTGTTGTTCTTCAGGAACAGTCCCATGCTCTGAACTGGAAAATAGCCTCACGATAACTGAACTGATAAGAGCTGGAGTATTTTGTTTTCTTCTACAGACAGAGGTTGGATGGAGATTGGTGACTTTTCAGACCAAAACAGTAACCTACAGCTGCAGCCTATTGCATCTTGTCTCTTTCGACTCAGTCCTACCTAGGACAAGAGCTTTCTCTGATTCTGTCTTTGCAGAGGACAATTTCTTTCACATGCACATTTCTTCTTAGGRGTTAATGCCTACACACTACCCTAGAGAACATGATAGAATAGTAGCTACAGCTGAGCCAGGCTTCTATATTTGGACTGAAAGTAGACTAGAACAAAGAGTTCTTTGGTAGAGAGAGAGAGATGTTGGTCAACGCCTCCTATCTCTGACTGATTATATTACCACAGTAATATGTATTGTAGCTGCACTCCTTTCACTCTAGTGGTGACTGTTTGCATCCGTTGTAAGTTTGGTCCCCTGTACTTTGATTATGAAAGGTCATCAGTCCTACTGCAATTCCTTTGCACCATGTAGCCCTGGGAAAGTCTATTAKAAAGAGTGTAATTCCCTAACATCTTGTTGGGCTTTGCAGACCAACAGATTTTTGTTGGTTAGAAGTAATTTCTTAAAAATAATACTTGTCATCAGGGGGCAGGGAATTTACAGAAGTCTAGTTTATTTTAAAGCAATATGAGAACAAGAAACGTTAAAATCATTTAAAACTTTTACATTATTTTTAAAGCAGGGTTTCAGTTCATAGCTCCTTTAAACACAGAGTGAGCACATTAATAGGATGTTGTTAGTTGGATCCCATCTGTAAGATCAGTCCTAAAACTGAAAGATCGTGTTTCAGTTTACAAACACTATGAGAACGAACATGCTAAGTAAAAGCTGAATCATTTTGCTCTCAAATGTGCACGATTTAATAAGTGCTAGTATTTCTATACAACATGTTAATCAGGACACGAGCTAACTCCTTGTGTATTCACCAGTGGCTACAGAGTCATTACGGAGCAGGTCTGAATGAACATACTGGCTTTGTATAGGAAAACTTTTCTAAGCAGATCTCAAAAAACTTTAAGAAGACCAATATCATTATTCTCATTTTACAACAAATGAAAATGAGATAGAGAAAGGAGACATTATTTCTCTGGGATGACTTGGCAGGCTGACGCCAGAGACCAGAATGAGATGCAGGCTTCATGGGCTCTAGTCCACAGCACTTCCAAATCCGTGGAAGTGCCTGCCAGGAACCTTGCAATCCAGGACGAGCAGAAGCAGGTTGCTCCTTAACAAACACGCATTGATTTCGAGTAGATGCAGCTACTGGATAACAAGGCCCATGTGCAATTCTCCAAAGGCATCACCTCCTGCCTGTACCAGYGTCTGCAAGTTTCCCAGCAGAGGCCCCAGGGAGCAGCCCTGTTCATAACAATCGAGCTGCTTCCTCCCAGCTCAGCTGTGTGAACTAGAACAGTCCTGAAAACGGACTTAACTCCTTAATGTATAGAAAGAGGCTGCAGCATACAGGTTGAACACAACATTTTGCACATTGACATCCCAGTTATCCAAACTAAATGCACAAATCATATTTTTTGGCAAATTTCTAACCATCTATACTCTCTAAACCAATTGMTTCTACATCCTCTTTCAACTATATGAAAATATTTTTATTCCTTATAAAKAATCTCTTCCTTTTCTCAATGTCTTGATATTTATATTCATCTTTGTTTAAACTATTGCCCAACASAGAACTACTTGTTGTGATCCAGATTGCTGGATTTTAGAGTTTAGTGCTCAAGTCTCATCTTTTCAAAGAGTATCTCCATCTAGAATGAAGGTTATCTTGGAAATATTGCACAATGGCAAAGAGGCTGAGAAAAAAAACATAAGGACTATCCAGGACTACATTTGATTCTAACAGTATATAAACCAATGAGAAATTTCCAAACACATCCTTATTTTTTTTAAATGTTACAACAAGCATTATCAAGTAATAAAACTAACAAAACTAACTTACCTGTGAGGAGCTTCTGTGGTAAGCTGAGTAGTGAAGTGGTCCAGAAATAGCAGTATCATGTGGTAAAGATGGATACTGACTCTGCATTGGGTGGGGATGCTGGTTGCTGTAGCTGCCATAGTTGTAACTTCCCGTGTATCTAAAATCCATTAAAAAGCACTGCTTAGCATGCACAATGTTTGCACTCCCATTCATAGTTCTGTAATGTTTGTGACAAACAGAGTTGCACTTTTTTGCTTTGGAAAATTATGCTTTATGTAATGCTTTCTTAAAGATATTTCCCAGCTCAATGGCAGGCAGATGCCACTCAGTGAGACCGTGTTTGCAGCACATGAACAATTAGAGAGACTCTGTGACTAGTTTTAAATTGCAGACTCATCTGCACGGTTGCTAAGGATATCATCTTTTTTCTTCATTTTTRTTCCATAGAAAAACTCATTTAATAGAATGAAATTTGTTGTTATTTTATTATCACATTTATTTTATTACCACATTCCCAGTAAACTGCTATCCAGGCCATTCTGTACAAAAGACTGGTAGACGAGATTCTCTTCCAGACATTTTGGGAGTCTGCAAACACCTGCCATCATTTCCCAGAGCAGAGGAAATTYTCCTCTGCTCTGGCTGAGGAGAATGCCCACCTCTCTGGTCCCTAGAGCTGCCCAGGAGTGCCCTTGGATTCCCAGCTAAAGCCAAGCTCTGCTAAGCTACAACTGCACTTCATGCTTTCTCTAGGCATCAAGATGCTCTGCCCTGTTCTAGAAACYATCTTTCTAGTCTTCTTTAGTCAAAAACTCATGGTTTTTTCTTTTTTAATGGAAAAAATATAGCATTTAAGCTTACTTGAGCATGGAGCTATAAGGATTAATAAAATCCAGTAGTGCTGTTTCCTTTTATTTGAACATACAGGGCATCAAGTGGAAAGAAAACAGCTGTGCTGAACATAACCTGGAGCTTCTGGTGGACAAAATACTGATCAAGAGTCATCAATGTGGCCCTGCACCAAAGAAGGCCAACCTGGCCTTCCTGGGCTACTTGGTCATATTAGCAGGAGTGTGGACAGAAAGGCTAAGAAAGTGGTTATTGCCTCTATCTGGCATCTGTGACACTGTATCTGAAGCACTGAGTCCAGTTTTGGGCTCTTCACTCCAAGGACACTGACATACTGGGGKCCAGTGGAGGACCATCAAGACAGGAGGCCGCAACACATGGCGCACAAGGAGAAGCTGAGCGAACTGGGCTTGCTCAGCTGTAAGAGAGGCTAACAGATGATGTGCAGCTATCCAACGTGACACTACACAGCAGATGGTCACACAGGAGAGAAGCCAGCAGTTTCACTAGCTCTTTTTCTGTGTGTGTCCTTGTAGGTGCCACTGGTATATTCACCATGCTTCACCTGGCATACTTGAAGGACATCTTTTGGTTTTGCTAATGCGTACTTGAGTATCAATGTATGTAGTTGAGTTTTCCAGTATCTCATCAAGCCTTAAGAAAGCCCAACCAATTCCCTCTCCTCTGACACTCTTGGAAACAGAAGGAAATAATTCTAGAACTCAAAGATCAGACATGCCTGTCCGAAGGATATATAAGAAAGAACAATTACTTACTTATTTCACTCCAACCTCAAATAGGCTAGTTAGGAAATGTCTTCTATARCTGACTATTAGTATCACAAATCTTCTGTTTACAGTCATGATCTCACATACGTGTGCAGGCTCCTACTGCCRATTTAGAAGGAGGTTTTACTAGAGTGAGTTAGAGTGGGTTATGAACATTGCAGCTTCCCCTGTGTCACAAAGCTAGGCTAGTATTGCTAGCTGTGGGGCTTGCTTGCATGACAGGGAATAGGTCATGTAGCCATTTCTTCATTTTTCTTACAGATGCTTTTGGACTTAACCAGTTTTCATTTTATAGAGAGCAGTTTTTATCATTAAGCTTGAATTTTACTTCAGAAAAGYGGCCCCAAGGACAAATAAAATACCTGTATATACCAAGCCAACAGTCTGTATTTATGTCTTTTCAGCACTGCTAGGGCTTTATGTTRTTCCAAAAGCTCAGATCTTCCAAACTCTGGAATGCTTCAATGTTTTAGGCATTCTTCTTCTAGCTCTGGATACTCTGAGGCATTTATACCTCACAGAGGATCATCTTTAGCATGCAAGATTGGTAGGAAGCCCAGCAGAAGTGCTATCAGAAAACTTGCAGGTAATGCTGGGTGGCTAAGGATCTGCCTTGCTGGGGATTTCACCTACAGGTAGCTCATGGCTTGCAGGCTGCTCRTGGCTTCTGTTGGGCTCTTGGCACTGGAGTGCAGCTCAGTCTTTGGGGCTACAACAGCTGCTCACTCTATTTCAAAGTCATTTATGCTTCTTCTCCAGAAACCTGGAAATCTTTGTACAGACTGTGATCTTCTCTGTTTCTTTCAGGGCAGCCATCTGTTTGAATCTTGCATTCAAGCTCTCTTATTTTTCTTTTCTTGTTTGAATATATGGTCCTTTAATGCCTTTAAACAAGCAATGTCATGAACCTGTGACTATACCTTGCAAAAGATCCACCTAATGGGTTGTGCTCTTSCAAACACTGTGGGGAAGGTCACTGGATTTCTCTGCAGACATTTCTCCATTACTGTATCACATTAGACTCAAATCATACAAAAACTAAAATATAAATATGCTGTTTTCTCTGTAGATCTTGAAATAGGCAYATGTTGTAATGACACAAAAATATTTTATAGTAGCACAGAAAGGGCAAATGAGACTGGGAAATCTTTGTGCTAACTGCCATGTAAATGCAGATTAACAGAGAGTCTCTATCTGTATGATTTTACAAAGTCAGTTCCAGACAAGAAGGCAGATGTCACTGAATCATTCAGAAGCGTCGCCAGACTGTTTCTACACATGTGTCAAATATAAAGCCAAATGGCAAACAAGACAGATTATCAAAGTCTTTTTTTGTCCTTTAGAAAAGTCAATTCATCCAAACAGAAAAGTTTCCTTAAATCACCTACTTGAGGCAAACGACCGCTGTAATGACAATAATTTTTCATGTGTGTATATGTAGCTGCATTTATGCTCATACGCAATGCCCTACTRGGGTCTGTTCACATTCCTATATCTTGTCAGCTCCAGAACTTTCCTGCTGCCCTACTTTTGTCTCCAGCAAGTTGACATATTCCTAGCAGCAGAGACACTCCATCTCTCTCACAGCCAGGTTTCCTTAGCAGTGACATTCAGATAGAAATCCAAACCTGCCTACATCCAAGAGGGAAGGAGATGCAGCATTCAAATTAATCTACTTGCAAGCAGTATGCAATCTTCCACGCTGGCAAAGACTTTGACTCCGTTGCTTCACGTGAGCATTTGGACATCTGCTAATGTAGGTATGTGCCCGTGAATTATTTTGTCATGATCTCTCTGTAATTATGGATATCTATGAGATGAACATTCTCTCAGAGGATGGCATATGAAAAATGCTGTTTGGTGAAATGAACACTGACACTTTGACCTTCTGAAGTATTTCAAGATCAAACAGTGCTAATTCAATATTTATTTGTTCATGATGGGCATGGGATGAGAATATTATGGTGAATATGTGGCTGTTCTCTAAACCTCAGACACTTTTGATCAGCAGGACTAACAATAGTCATGGTGCAGGATGATATATGACAGTTCTTGGTACACATTTGGCCTTTGGGATGTAACATGGCCAGGAAAACAGGAGTCAGAGACAGAAGGGAATCTATTGAAGTCATCCCTTTTAGAAAATATTCTCCAGACATACTTTTAAATGGAAATTAAAGGATTTTTTAAAACTGATACATAATATTACATAATATAATCATGCAACAAATACAAAACCAGAAGAGAAACTATACTTCACAGTACAGACCTACTACATCGAGAAACTGATTTCACTGCCCTTCCTAAAGAACCCTAAGCTTTGGTTTGTCCAAAACCACAAGAAAGCCAGAGACTGAGAAGTGCCTTACCCATGTTCTTCTCTGTGAGGGTAAACAGGTATCCGGTGCGTGACAGACGACGACGGTACGTGTGGATTCCTCATGCAGGGCAACTGTTGGGAATTTTCCGCGGGTGACCCAGCAGCTGTAGTCACGGTGTAGGTRAGTGACCACGTGTAGGACTGCATAGCCCCTGCAGACAAACGAGCATCGAGTGAAAACAGGTAACATGAGCTGTCGTCCCTGTAAGGGCTACACTTCGAAATGGTTGTAGAAAAGCAACCTAACAGGCTCTCATAATGGAAATGGCATCAATCAGAGTGAGTAAAACACTCATGTCTAAGGTACTAATAAAAATACAAATAGATCAGCTGGAGTGCCCAGAGAGACAAAGATACGAGGTGCTTCTGGAATATGTCAGGCTGTGAACCTTGAGTGATGCTGTACTTTGAGACTAACATCTTCTTAGAAAGCTGAGATAAGGCTTAGAAATGGAGGAAGAGGCAGTTACTATGCCTTAGGAATGAGGCACCAAAACCTGGAGCCTCTCTCACATGGAGTGTGGCTGCTGGCCTGTTTAGTGCTCAGGCTGATGAGGCCTGAAGGGAAGCAGAAAGTATGACCAGACCCATGAAGGACTGGCAAAAGATGTGCCTAGCACTATATATTTCTTGAACCCTTACACAGTTTTCTTCTGTTCCACTCTCTGAGGTACTAACCTGCACAGTGAGAACACTCTGGTAGCTCCCCAAATTTTATATCTATATCTATATCTATATCTATATCTATATCTATATCTATATCTATATCTATATCTATATCTATATCTATTTAAAAAAAAAACATACAGAAATAGTCCAGCCCTTTTAATCCTCCAAATAATGTGTCTTTCTTTTCCTATGTGGCAGGGATTGGATTTAATTTCCTTTTTCATACAGTGCATTTGTGGGAAGAGCAAAGCAAAGCAGTGGGCTGTGTGCTTTGCCTGGCAGGTGCTGAGTGTTTTAATCAGGGCTGTCTCCTGCAGCGGGAAGGCCGGGCTCAGGAGGCAGCTGCTGAGGAACCTGTGTCCCTCGGCCACCCCACGTGGCCGCGGTGGCTGGCGGAGCCGCTGTTTTGGATAACACGGCTCTTGCTGCAGCTTGGGGCCATCCTGGCTGGGGCTACCCTGCAAATGAGGAGTAGGGCGCTGAACTGAACCCAAAGAGAAGCTAAAGTTCTCCTAAAGTTGTCTTTTGGAGCAGGAAATGCTCCATTCTGTGTCTCAATGAAGCCTTCTAAGCTTCACAAGTTATACCCAGTCTGAAATACTCCCACAGGGTGTGATTTAGTAATTTCATGGCAGAAACTTTCTTCAATGKGCAAAGTCCTATTTTCACGTCTGCATTTTTCATCAACGACTGCTGAATTTTCTGTCTTCCATCTCCTCCCATTGCAGAGGACCACTGAGATCTCTAAGATCAAAGAAGAGGAATATTCATCTGAGCTAACACATCARTGCTAGAAGCTATACACAGGCATTCCCTGAGTTGAGGAAGGGTGTATGGAAGCCTACCTTGGATGCAAAATATGTGTTCAGGGGAAGGGGCCAAAACTACTTAGGCAGCCAGCAAATAGCCTCCTCTGAACACAAAAGACCTATTCTAATAATATCACAAATCTAGCACAACATTGCTATTTCAAACGGTCAGCATATTTTCCTAGTGCTATTTTCCAAAAGGAGATCTGTAACTTTGTTTAAAATAGACTAATTTAAAAGGCAAAACAAAGAAAAAAGAAAAAACAAAAAGAAAAAAAGTTCGCTAAAAAACAGTTACTTTAGATACTGTTAGCTSTTTTAACTTCTTAACTTCCCCTAACCTCCCCATAAGACAAGTTTTGCTTCAACTTGATTTTATTCTTTTCTGTAACTTCACTATGGCCATTGAACTAAAAGCATGACCTCCCTAACTCTAACAGGGATCAGTAGTAACAAAGCCAAAGGATCCTTTATTCTAAGGCATTTTAGCAAATATGATTAACCTGACAGACCCTAAGCCACTGTCACAGTCTTTTTATTTATTTATTTATTTTTTTAAATAGTTAGGATCTTTTCTCAGCCTGAGGAAAATGAATCAGCCCATGACAGCAAATTGTGTCAGGTGTTACCTGTGGGAGGTCAAGCTCCTTGGACTTGGTCACTTTTGGCATTCAAGTATAAGTGGCAGTCAGCTCTGCTCAATTATAAAAAAAAAGTTTAGATTTTGACATGCTGTGTGCTTGTCTGGACAACTCTGAGAGAGAAATACTAAGAGATTTTGCACTGCGAGAGTTGTGAATGTCTTTACTTAATTCTGTTAACCAAGAAGTGCCTCAGAAATGTTTGGGGTTTTTTTCCCCTACCAGAAATTACCTCACACAACTGCTCTAGGAAAGAGATTTTGGGATTAGAAACAAATGTATATTGGACTTTACTCTAGAACTCTGGAATTAAGGAGACAAACGGTGTTGTTCAAAGATTTTTCTTGTCCAGATGTTGTTGAGAGTCTACAGTCCTCTCTGTTCTCTCTCCCTTTGCAGAAGGGATGCAGCTACTTTCAGAGTGCCCCAGTCTCAGAGAGAAAGGAGGAGGACATAATAGAAGACTATGTATGTATATGTATGTGTATATATGAGGTCAGCGAGGACATTGCTTACACTGTCGTGAGTGGAAAAGGAGGAATGAGATATGTTTGAAGAGTTGTAGATTTTGATAGTTATCTTTCTAAAATCTGCCTCTGCCCCAGCTCCATACAATTAGTTTTCTCAGCTGGCTGCGGAATTGAACTCCGGGACAGGAAGTTGCTTTTAGATACAACTAAACCCAACTGAACTGCCTTCTGAAATAARCAGAAACAATAGTGGTTGAGCAATATTTTGCTCTGCTTTGTGTTCTGAACATGCAGAGTTTGATTAAATAAGGAAGTTCATTTATCATCATTCTTTTTTTTTTAAAGATAAATTTGATTTGGGGCATATTAACCAAGAAGGCTTCTAACTTGTAAGATGCCCAACGTACAAACGGAGTTGCTAGCAGGCCAGCTATGGTCGTGTTGTCCTAACGCCTAGTGAAACCAGAAGGGATAAGGAAATATGGAATTCCATTCACAGACCCATGGATGGCACCAAGGGCCACGCACACACCCTGAGCATGTGCTGTCTCAGTGCATATAGTGCATAGTATATAGTGCATAAGGCACTTATGTTAAGGCACTTAGTCCCTGATAGCTAGATTTTTTTCTGTTGATATGCCACTGGTGTCATCATGTTCACCAACACAAAAAGAGAATGAAAAGCCACTTTACAATGTTGGATTTTTATGTTTGTTTTACACAGGACTAATTCCCTCTTCTGTCCTCCCCAACAAATACATTAGTTTAAAATCAAGTTTAGAAAAAACCTCAAACCCGCCGTTGAGAAAGWCTGGAGGGGAGAATTGTCCTTTGAAGTTGAAACTGTTGATTTTTACACCCTGCAGCTATAAGAATTAAACTAATTCTTTAACAAGAGCTRATGTTCTCATACTTTCATAAGAGTTCAAGAGCTGGAACTTTAAGGAACAAACAGAATGTCATTGTGTGATGATCTCCAGATGATCTCCAGAGATCTCTTCCAACCTCAACCATTCAACAATTCTGCATTCAAAACCACACATATCAGGAGAGGTGGTAGCTCTATGCAAGCATCTCCCATGTCAGAATCCCAGAACTTTAATACCTCTCCAAAACCTGAAAAAACACTGCCTTTAAGTGATTGCTGCTGACATTAGGACTTAAATCAGACATACATATCTTGTAACTAAATAGTAAACTGCATAATTAATTTGCTAATGCATTAGGAGCTACTTACAGTGCAGAGTTCATTTCTGGTTGTCAAAAAAGCATTGCATTAGTAAATGAGAAATTACAGTTTCGGGAAGAGYAGAGAGCAAAAGCAGAGCCAGCCATACTGCTATCACTTTTATTACAATATCGTTGCAGTCTGAACAATCATTAATCTGGTCTTTGTGACTTAGAAAGGATTGAGACTAATTATCCTTTTAAATGTCTAGCAACCTAACAAAAAGATTTAAATAAAATGTTAGCTGAGGCATGCCAGATGTTCTAAATTAGAACACTATACATTGGATTCAGCTTTCTTTTGCTTGGTGTCATGCAATTTCAACAGTTTAATTTGTGGTTTTGTGCTCACCATTGAATGAAGGCAAGCAGATTGAAATGCAAGTTAATAGTTAACTTTTATTGCTAATGCCACAAGAGAAAAAAGGACTTAACAATGCCTTAAATTAAGGGACTAAAAACTAGTGGTAGCCAATGGACTTAGTTTTCAAGTTTTCCAAAGCTTTTTCAGGGTCTGACATTTACCTTATAAATGATGTTTCATAAAATAAGTAGTGGCATTTAAGTATAACCTCCAGAAGTAAGCTCTAATATAAAACAAATCCAGAACGCTTTTTACATTTACCTTATTTTTAGTTTGATACATCATTTTCTTTGAAAGACCTGTTTTCCATTTTATTTTCTAAAGTTATTTTCAAAATATTAATTCTCTAGCTCTCTACCCAGGATAGTTGGATCATATAGCACATTTTCAGCACTTCTATTTTAAAGTAAAACTGTTACCTATAACTCGGTTACAAGAAAGCTGGATACCTATTGTATACTTGAAAGCACGGTTGTTATTTTATATTACTGCAATCTGTGGTGTAATGGGTAGCAAACCAAGAAGGTGATCAGCTCATCCGTATGAAGAATGTGGGAAATGGAGGTATTCTTAATTGCCCCAACTAAGACAGGGAAAAGCTCACGTATTTGTACTTACTCTTAACCAGACCACCGCTTGGCACTGACAAATTTGGCTTGTAGCAGACAAAAATGATTTTCATGTTAGCAAAAATGAGACTGCACTGGATGGCAAAAGTCTCATTCATCCAAACAGAGGTTTCTAAAACAGCCTGAAAATGAGAAGTTGGTAGAAGCAGAGAGCTAAAATAATCAGGAATTACTTTCTTGCCTGAAATGTTCTGCTTGGGGAACAACTTYGAACAGTTCTACTGCCTGTACTGAAGGAGCAGGTTCTTTAGCCATGCTCCCCAAATGATCCATTTCTACCTTGAGACTTTATACTAGCAAGATAAAACACTTAGAGGGAAAGAAGGCATGAAAGAGCAAGAAGAGAGTAAAAGAAAGTATGACATAACATGGGAACCAAAAGGAATTACATCTGTAGTGTTTCTGTGAGTCCATTCTCTCACATTACTGCGAGGATACAGGAGGGATATCTAAGAGCCAGGCAGTTACTTAAGTCAAGCATGCTCGGAGAGCTGGCAAACAGGCCACTACTTAAAGATGGAATACAGTTAATTAATTGGGGTAATAGTTCCCACAATCACATAGCTTTACAGTATCTGCAGCCTAAACAGAAGTCCTTTCAGTCTCCATCTTTGCCGATGCTACACGTAGGCTCTCCGTGGACAGTTACCTACTTTTCAGTCTTTTACTTCTGGGCAGAGTTCTGCTTCAGGTGTGAGTTTTGCCTATAAGATCACAACATCCCCACCCGGCCACAATGTCTGCAGAGCAAGTTAGTCACAAAAGCAACGTTTCAAGACTCAAAGATGCATAATAGCTCAGTCACTGCCTGATGCAAAATCGTGTGCTCACCTCCCATGTCCAGGAATCACATAGCTCTTGTCTAACTGTTTGGGGGTAATATCATCCTGTTTCCCTCCTAAATATAGCATAAACTCCAACAGGGAAAAAACCTTGAGTTTCAATGTAAGAACAAATGTTCTTAAATCTCTTTTCACCACAACTATGCATTGTGCTTCCCTGTGGCGCCTTTGAAAACACGAACAACATTTGTCAGAAAGATTTATTAGTCCTTTGGCCTCTGCCAAATTATCCAGTGTGGTAAATCATCACTTTCTGACATTCTTTCAAGAAGGTTTTGTAACTTTGTGAGTACGTCACAAGAGTGATAGTTTCCACATTCTGATTACCCACCCATTTCACTGAGGAGCAATAAAGCTAGATTTCCAGTGACGGGAGGGCTTCTAAAAGTGTTTTACAGTTCTGCCTTTTTCCCCCCGTAAATTAAGAAAATACAGCCTTTTGCTCATACAGACAGAAGCTCCTGTCCATATGCAAAAGCTAATAGTTGACTTTCACATTCGGGGACTGAGCAGAGTTGCCCAAACAACAAGCCCTTAGGGGCTTGCTTTTGTGCTTACTGTTTGGATAATCCTAGCCACAAACTGAGTAACTTTATGCACAGATCTATTAATCAGGAGTTTTATGTGGCTTATCAGACTACAAGCTCATGAGTTGCCATAATGGAGTATGTAACAGAAAACAGGCTTCAGACATCCATTTCCTAATCTCTAATATTGAAAGACAAAAGTTCTCAACATGTAAACATTTGGAAGAGAAACTCACACATATTTGAAAGTGTTTTGGTCTCAAACATGCTGAAAAATGTCCCGTTCCCATTTTACCCACTGGCAGCTAAGTGGTTCAGCACTTTGAAAACCTCACTAAACCCTAAAGTACCCAGTCCATTTCCATGAAGTACATAAAATTTTTCAGAGACTTAGTCCACATTAAAGTCATCTGAGATGCTCAGAAGTATTTTATCTATAAATATTTCTTTTGGAGCATTACTAGAAATATGAACAATTGAACTGATTTTAGAAACCACTTAAAAATAAAGTGATAGCCCTTCTTCTATGAAGCCCTCAACAACTAGGGAGATTCTAATGTCCCAGAACTACAGTCTGGAATCTACCATTAGGCCTTTGGCATCCAGACATCACTCCTTTTCCTGTTACACTGTGCACCATGTCTGGATAGAGTGASAAAGTCTAATTAATACTTTAAACAGGCTTCAGTTGGAGAAAGCTCCTCATCTTTAGAGAACTAGCGTGTGGTGGCTGAAGGAACTTCAGGTAGCTGAAAGGCAAGATCATGTTTAGAAGAGAGGATAGCAGCCCCTGCAGCTGTCAGCCTGCTTACCTGTTGTAGCTCCTATGCCCCCATACTCTGGGGACTGGTTGCTGACAGGTGAGGGGGCAGAGGGCACTTCCACGGAGGTGGCAGATTTAGCTGGGGAGAACGGCACTGGGGAGGGAGTTGGAGGAGCTGGTTCACTCAGGATGATTTCTTCTCGTATTTCTGCTGTGAAGTTACCAAAAACACTTAGTTTAGGGTGGATTCAAAGAACACTGTGAAACTCAAAAAAAAATGCAAGCAATAAGTTCTGTACAGGGCATTTCTGTAAAAGTATAGCAGGAGTCACGTAAATTTTTGAAAGAAGGACTTCTATCACATGCAAACTATAATAATCCTCAGTGTMTCAAGACCTCTTAAAGGAAAGTGCCATTTTTCCATTTTTCTTGTTTTATACTTAAACTGATGTGCAGACAGCCTGGCACTCCTGCTCCTTCTACAGACATTGGGAAGAAAATTGGAGGAATTTCAAGGGGATTCCAGCAGCCAATGGTGGTAACTGTCTCTCCTCAGTGACTACAAAGGCTCACGCTCTGCATAGGTCTAGGCTCCTAAAGCTGTGTGAAAACTGTGCAGGGATGAGCAACTTGTTTGTCAAAAAAACAAAAGGCTATGGCAGGACAAGGAATTAAATCCAAGTCTTTCAACACCCAGAAGATAGTACCCTAAACACYGGAATGTTTTCTTCCCATAAATCTCCAGGGAAGCAAATTAAGTCACAGCTAAAATGAAGAGTACAGCTTTCCAGAACTCACAGAGGGATTTAACTTGCCAAACTAATGGGAGATGTAAAGAAAGAAGATCACTGAGGACTTCTCATTACAAGGGGAGCCCTGAGCAGAGTGACTCAAGGCAATTTCTGCTTGCTCCTGCTCTGGCAAGTCAGTGCAGAGTGAATGCAGCAGGACTGCAAGTCTGTTTCTGTACTTGTACACATAACAAAAATGTATCAGAAATGAGAGCTTTTGTTTTTGTCTTTGCTCACTTCTCCCATCTTTTACTTAGAGTAGTACAAATCCAGGGATATGAGTGGATTTATATAGTGTGAAACTAGCATGGGAGAATCAAGAATCAAAACTGAGTTGACTAAAATGCAATTGTGGTTTAGTTAAACAGATTCAGTACAAAAATCTCTTTCTAAAATACCAAATGTTTGCTTAGGATGGCATTCCAAACATCAGGAATAACATCATGAAGCAGTTAGGTCTCTTTGAGAACATATTAACCTGGGAGGCTGCCYGCTCAAATGGACTGTGATGGAACTGATGGAAGCCGGTATGCTTCTCTGGGATAGCTGAGGACAGGGAAGTGCCCTTACTTAGAAAAGAATGAATCCAGTTTAGTAAAATGACAACAGATGAATAAAAGAACAAACTCACCTGTGCTTCCTTCTCCTTTCATTGCCCTCATTAGCTCATTAGCTCTCTCCTGACAATGGAGTGATTCTAGCAGGTACAATACGTAGTCATCAAACATCAAGTGAATAAGGTGAAAAGACCCTGGTAATAAAGTGAACAAACAAAAAAGCCATTGACTGTCTCAATASACTCATTAAACCAATGATTACAGTATTCAGCAGAACAGCACTGGCTTCTATACAATATTGCCACAGAAGCATGTCTCTTACTCAAGGGAAATACATCATCCACCAATGAGGAAGGACAAAGTCAAAGTAAATCTGGGAACAAAAAGACTCTCTTTATTCCTGGAATTATATTTCCCTATGCTCTAGCACTGGACAATTTAGACAACTGCACTTTAGTGGGATTTCTTTGCTTTTATCTAAAACATAGGAGACAGGTTTCTGTCAAAAGTAGAATCCAGAACTGGCCACCTTAATGACATGCCTTGGTACGACATTTCCGAACTACCTGTGCCACCCAACAAAGAAATGACAGACCACTCAGCAGAAAGGTAGAAACATCCTCCCAAATCTCCTGCCAGGGCATCTCCAGTGCTGGACTTGAGGAAATATCCATTAGCTAGAGGCACTAGCATTAGCTGTGCATATCTTAAAGGRAAAGACTTGAGTCAAAGCTTTGGTTGGCGCACCTTTTTCCTAATTAGCTGTTGTCTTTCCTAGTTATCATCATCTTTCCTAGTTACCAATTTGAAAGTTACCATTCTTAAATACCATGAGAGGAATGTGACCAACTTAGGGGTCTAAAAAGGAAGAATATGGACAAAGAAAAGTGAGGTATGGAGTCAAAAATACATTCAAAAAGGAAAAGAGACTGTATTTATTGATAGCTATCTGCTATAAACACTCAAGTTTTGAATACAGCTTGAGAACTTGCTAACAATATTAGCAGCAAGGGCTGGATGATGTTATGAACTACACTAATAGAAATGAAATGAAATTTAATAGAGTGCTGTAAGAAGTTCTGCCCTGAGAGATTTGCAACAAGATTTTTTGCTGTCAGATAGAATTTCTTCAGTTAGAAATAACTGAATTGAGGGTAAATTAGCTGATGAGTCCCTGATGCAATTGGCAATGGATGTAGTTACATTTCTCTGTACAAACGGAAGTATTAATGCTATTGCCCAAGGCACTGATGAAACCTCCCTTGGAATACTGAATACTGCTCTGGTCACCCATGTTCAAGAAAGATTAGTACAAGCTGAAACTGGTATGGAGAATATTAGCAGCAGAATGGATAGCAGATTTAAATGACTGAAAGTGGTTTAATCTCATAGAAGGGAAGTAAATTGTTCTCCATAACATACAAAGAAGGACACATGTCACCCATAGTGAAGACATATTTGCCCTAGAAGAGATGCGTCAGAACAGGCTATAGGTGCCTGTCCACCGAAAGTGAGGAAGAGCAAATTATCAGAGCTGAATCATGGTGTCGTGTCTTCCTGAAAGGAACAGTGGGCATCTGCAGAGCATGTCCAGCTAGTTTCAAAATAGCGCATCACCAGTTTATGCAACAGACTCCATGACATAGAGTACCTGTAGTAGCTATAGACAGCATCCAACCACACAAYGGCTTCTTGAAAGCTCCTATGTTTATTTAGACTTGCATGGARTATTTAAAATGTGCTTATGCCTCATGTAAGTCTGGCTTACATGAGCTAGGGCCAATGCAGCCAGGCAGGTATAAATAATAGCTGATAGAAAAATCACCAGCTGGGAAAGAAGCAGAAGCCATGTACTCCCCAGAGAGAGAGGAAAAAAAAAAAGTGTGTTTCTTTTGAAATGTTATTACTACGTATTTGGGGAAAATATTTTTCCAGGAAAAAGATACAAGAAGTTTCAAAATTTCATCAATTTCATGATGATTTTGTTTTCATATTACACATATGAAAGTTAGAGGTTGCATTTATGTTGGGATATTAGCCTTTACCACAGCTAAGCCTAAGCACCCCTACTCCAGCTTCTCTCCTCCTACTGATACAGAGCAGAAGAAATCTTCTGAAAGGCCCTGTATCTTTGCACAATCCTAGCTAGCAATTCAGCTTTCAAGCTCCCAAAGCGGCTCACTCCCTTTTTCCTGCTGTGGTCACCTGGTAAGAGCTGAGCACAGACAGCAGCAGGAGGACACCTGCCTTTATGGCATTGGCAAGACAGCAGAGAGAGAGAGACACGTAGGACTGCAACACCTTTGCTACGAAGAGGAGATCTGGCTGCTGGTGAACCTGAAGAATTCAGCTTTTCATTAGTGTTTTGTGTTATCCCATGCAAATCAAAATGGGAATCAAAACAAATGCCTAGCCTTGCAAGTGCAAATGGTGTCTGCACTTGGCCTTTGTAGAAATTTAGAAATTTTCTGAGCTAAACATTTTGCTGAATAAAATCAAATTACACTTAGCAGCACTGTAAAGACAGCAGGCCTGGTTGATCACCTTGTTACTGATCTAGGATTTCCACATTTTTCAGTGGAAGTCTTCTGCTGATTTTAGTGCAGCTACTACTGATAAGTATTTCTAAGGCAAGAAAGCCTAAATATTTGGTTCATTGAATCTGCCAATCTTCCACGTGCTGATCACAGGATTGAGGTGTTTAGTAATTCCCAAGAAACTCCACACTCAGCTTTCCTTTTAAAATGAATTTAAAGCAAGTTCATTCTAGTTTCACAGAAATGTTTGGAACTTGAAAGCTAAACACTAAAATGCTAAAAGCAAATGACAAGAATCTAGAATTTGCATTTTTTCTAAAAAAAGTCTTTGTTTGGGGGGATGTGATGCTTTATTTTGAAGCTGTGGGGTTGGCAATATTGAATGCACCATTTAAAAACCCTCCAGTGTCTTTGACACTCTTTTGAATTTCTCCCTTCCTCTCCTATTATTTCTCCCACTGTGTATTTTTAAACTCTGCATAGAGATTTTGAGTCCAGAATTTGTATGAAAGACACTAGACAAACAAGCTGTTGGTGCTGAACGAATGCAATATTTTTACATTCTAAAATGAGTCAAATGAAATGTAAGCTATAGAGTGAAAACAATATCAGCACATGCATTTCAGCTGCACAGTGGGATGTTCAGTACAATGTACAACAGTTTATTTTGTGTTTGCAAGCTACTGTTTTCCACATCAAACTATGTTTGGATCTTTCAAGTATATCTTTAAGTATTGAGAAGGTCCAGCTGTGGCTGGTACAACTTACACTCCTTTAAGAAGAGGTCATTGGAGAGGTTGCAGTTAAAATAATAAATGACCATTTGGCTCTGTTTTTCAGGAGGCACTAACTGAAATGACTGCAATGATTGCCCAGCTAAGGTACAGTTAGCATCAGAAGCTATTAACAGACAGATACTGCACTTACGTGTCAGGAGCAAAAGACCAGTGAGATTTCCAGATCCGGAGAAAATCATGGAGCTTCTATGATTGATTAGTTACTTTTGTACACTGGGTGCATTACCCAAACATTGCCACCAACTGTGTC